AGGGGGTCGTCATTGTGGGTGGCGCGGTTGAGGCGGTAGTTTTTTTTGCCGAACTGGTCAAAGCCGATGAAGCAGGAGCGGGGGCGGAGGCCGCCTTGCCTGGTTCGCAGAGGCCGGCTTGCCAGGTGTTGGTTGGGTGGCGGTGGATGGGGGTGCGGCAGTGGTGAGCCATGGTGGTTAAGACTGATTGCTAAAGGAAACGTTTGTCTTGGGAATTAGAAAAAGAAAGATTTGGTCGTAAAGAACTGTGGGGGGTTAATCTCTGTAATGATACCGTGGGATGGGGAGGTTAGGGGTGGATGTGATGATGATGATGATGATGATGATGGTGATGGTGGTGAGACGACTGTGGTGGTTTTGGGAGAACAAGAAGAGAGGAGATGGCGTCCATTGCTGGGGAATTTTGGTTGTCTGTTGGACTGTGCTGGGTTCCTTCCTAGCTACCTAGCTGGGAAAGAGTGGTGAGGTGATGAAGGGCTCTTGCTGATGATATCTGTCGGTCTGTGAGTTCCACGGTGCCGACGGTGAGGTCAATGCGGATGTGGCAGGTGCTTGTCGAAGTGATGGCTCCGCCTTGCAAGAGCCTCCTACCTTGTTCTGACGTCTTTCTTTTTGATAGTATCCTCAGCACCTGCAGGGACCGATTGGTTGCTTCCAGACTGCTGGTAACTTCAAAGTTGTCAGGGAAGTTGCGGGTGGATCAAGGTATAAGAAAGCAGGAGTCTGATATTGAACGCTGGCTATGCTATTGAAAGTTTGAGCTGCCTTGAGAAGGCGGCTTGTCATTAAGCTTCTGAGCTTGCTATTCTCACCATCAGCCCAAGTCCAATATCCCAAAATGATCCAACTTACACTTCAGGTCGAGTCATCATCTCTCACCACTGCTCTCACTGTTGATCTTGCCCGAGGCCTTCTTCAATTCACTCTCCCGGGCGTACCCCGCCAATACTTCATCCGCATAGTCGTCTGGCTTCAAAAGGACCAAAGTGACAGGCAGGAGTATTGCAAGTTCTCCAAGCCGCCTGGACGAGGAGCGAGCGGGTCCGTCAAGGTAAGCATTGGGATCTCACCGGCTTGAAGAATCATTCGGGCACACACGACATATCGTCATCTTCGGCACTAGTGGATCTATGAGCACATCTTCTCTGAACAAAAGGATGAGACAGTTGAGCTGGGATGGGCCGCCTGCAAGCCATGTACCAGCGCGAGCGAGCGACAGAAGCTTGTGTCCACATCGTTGGTGTGTTGGGAAACTTCAGATGAAAGCTATGCCAGAGCAAAAGCAGCGTCTCCCCTCGCCAGCAGCTCGCCAATTGAGTGACCAATTGAATGCCCAACCAGAGGGTCGCCTTCAACCCTCCCTTGCAATCATCTGCGGTGGCCCAAACCTTCCAATGGATTCTGATCTATGACTATTTCCCAACTGCACCTCAGGAATAATGTTCATGGAGGCTTGACATTGAACGACGAACCAGCCAAGACCCTAAGGCCGTCTCGGGGAAAGCTCCAAGCGGGGACAGTGGATCCCGGCACTGTTTGACGTCTTTATACAGGGGGGTTCATTGCTGGCCATGGTGGAGCTGGCAATTGAGGTTCTCGATGATAGGTACTTGACATCTACTCAAGAGAAGCTCATTGTTGGTAGATAGCTAATTGGTCTGCGAGGCGATGTGTCTGATAGACTGCCAAGTAACTTTCCTTGTCTAATAGCCGTGATTTTATGTGTACCAGCTAGGTTGTATGTTTCTGACCTGCTACACTTGCTCGGTGACAAGCTTTGAAACCCTTCAACTATCTATCCTATGAAATGCACCATCATGTCTTGAGCCCCAAGTTCCCAACAGCCACATCTGGAGAGGCTTGCTTGTTATAGCCTGTCGTTGTTTTCCTTTAAAGGCCTGCCAAGCAGCATGGTTGGGTGGGGCTCTCTGAACCCCGCGATAAGTAACTTGACCCCACCACCAATCAAGCATGACGCCTCCTCCTCCATAACATCGAAGCTGCCTAATCAAGACTTTCCCAAGCTTCCTGTCTGTAAAGCTTCCATTGCATGGGAAGTGGCGCTCTAAAATTTAACCTTGATTGTGACCGCCTCAGTTTTGTCATAAAGCTCGCCTTCGTCTTTTTTCCTCACAGATTTGTCAGTTCCTGGCCTCTCTCTCTTCTTCCTCCTCCCACCACAGCTAACTCCGAGAAGCCATCTCGCATCAATACTGCATCACAACCGCCATACTATAGCAAGTCACCATGGCGAGCACAATCCCCACGAACCCGAGCCCTCAGACGCTCAATATTCTTCTCCAGAAGATCAGTGATCCCGACCCAGATTTCCGGTTCATGGCACTGAACGACATCCTGACCGTTTTCAACATTGCGCGGACCGACTTTTTGACCCACGACTATAACACATCGGCGCGGACAGTCGACGCTATCGTGAAAGCACTGGATGATACCAATGGGGAGGTCCAGGGCCAGGCCATCAAATGTATCGGCCCTATGGTGCAGAAAATCACAGACCAGCTCTACATTCCCATGATGGAGAAGCTGGCAACCCTGAAGCTCAAAAACTCACAGGACACCTCGATCCCATCTCTTGCCATGCGGGCCATGGTGGCCGCCCTCCCCCGCCCTGTACCTGGCGTGTCCAACAACCAGGTGCTCGAAGCCTATTCGGCCATCAGTAAGGCTTTGATCCCAAGGCTCATTGGCCGCAGTGGTTCTACGCCGGGGCTGTTGGCCACCGAAAACGAATCTTCCGACTACGTTGACGTTCTGATCGAGGTTGTCAAGTCTTTCGGACCCATGCTTCAGATTTACGAAATTGAAGTTATTCACAACTCGATCGTTACCCTCATGGAGAATGAAAAGGGCAATTCTGTGCTTAAGAAGCGGGCGGTGGTGGCCATTTCTATGCTCGCCCACTACCTAGCGGACGACCATCTAGCACAATTTATCAAGCGCGCCATTCATGTTCTCAACCATCCTAGCCTGACGGGAGTCACCCGTCGTCTCTACATCACGGTTCTCGGCTCCATGGCTCGCTCAGTACCTCAGCGGCTCGGGAAACACCTTCCAGAACTGGCACCAATCCTTCTTCGTGCTTTGAGTGAGGAAGAATTGGAGGCGCAGCTTGAGGAGATCAGCGAGGGCGGGGAAGCGAGCTTGGAGTTCAGCGAAGTTCGCGAGGCTGCGTTGGTAGCTCTAGAAGCCTTTCTCGCCAGTTGTCCCAACCAGATGCGCCCCTATACCGACGAATCCATTGAGGCTTGCCTCCGCTATCTCAGATTCGACCCCAACTATGCGCTAGACGATGACGAAGATATGGAGGATGAAGAAGAGGAGGACGGTGGGTTCGATGACGATGACGAGATCGAGGCCGATGGCGGTTTCGACGATGACGACGATGCCAGTTGGAAGACTAGAAGGTGTGCCGCAAAGGCGTTGCATACGTTGATCTCAACTCGTAGCAGCGGCGATCTGCTTGACAGCGGAGTGCTCTACACCAAGGTGGCGCCAGCTCTAGTGAAGAGATTCGACGAGCGCGAAGAGAACGTACGACTGGAAGTCCTCTCCGCCATGGCTCTGCTCATTCGCAAGACCGGGGAGGGCGTCATCCCTGAGTTCTCCCTTGAAAGCCCCAGCGAATTCGTTCATCAGCAGCCTCCGAGCAGGAAACGGAGACGGCAGAGCAGTGCAGGCGGGGCTTCAGCGTTGGCTAACATGATCACACCCGCAAGCCTCGCCGGAACCGGGCTTGCCTCGCCAACATTGGAGAAGGTGCCAGCAACAGGACCTCGTGCCGATCTTGCTGCTCTCACCCCTTCCATCATCAAGTCACTCGCCAAGCTGCTCAAAGGAAAGCTTATCCCCACCAAACAGGCGTCTATCAACCTCCTCGACGATATCATCACTGTGCAGAGAGGTGGTCTTGGGCAGTATTTCGACCAAATCTTTGGTCCTATCATTGAGGCTATCAAGCCCTCCAGCGTTGCCTCTACTTCGGCGTCGCTCACTTCTGCTGGAGGAAGTGCTTCCGCCACTGCAACCACACTGAGAATCGCTGCTTTGCGTCTCACCAGCGACATTGTGAAGAATCACTCGTCGGCTGTGCTTCAGCCCCATCTCCCCAGCCTAGTCACGGGCCTGGTGTCTGTGGCTCACGACCGCTTCTACAAGATCTCCAGTGAGGCTATCCAGACGGCCGAGGAAGTGGTGAAAGCCATTACACCCCCTCGCTCCCGACTGACCGCGCAAAAGTTCAAGGGTGAACTTCAAAAGCTGTACGACGTCATCATCGACCGGATCAGAGACAATGACGCCGATGCCGAGGTTCGTCAAAAGGCCATCCACGCCCTCGGGACTCTTTTGGCTAGAACCACAGGGAACGAAGGCTCTGGTTTGCTATCGGAGGACAAGCGCAAGGCTGCCTTGGGATTCTTGCTCGAGCGCTTGAGAAATGAGACCACCAGGATAGCTGCGGTCCGAGCCATCGATACTGTGGCCGCGTACTCGCTTGGTTCTGTTCAGCTTGAGCCGGAATGGATCCGTCAGGTCGCCCATGAACTTGCTGCCCAGCTAAGAAAAGCGAACCGGGCCCTGCGTGGCTCGAGCATCGTCGCTCTGAAGCATCTCATCCTTTCCCCCTCGACCAAGGGCACTCTTGACCCAGATTCCGCTCAGGCCATCGTTAATGCGCTTATCCCTGTCATTACCAGCAACGATGCTCAGCTTCTGGCCCCTGGTCTTCTCATCCTCGCGCACCTGACCCAAGAGATGCCCCAGGTTGTTATCACCCCACAGCTTGTGACCGTCATCTGCGGCCTGGTCAAGACAACAGTCCCAGGCACGGTGCTCGACTCCTTGTTGATCCTGGTGACCAACGCTGGTCAGACTGGCCAAGGCAAGTCCTTGATGCAAGGGCTGCTTAGGGACGTTGGTGTCGCTGGTGACCCTTCTGTGGTCGGCAAGGTCATTGGCACTCTGCTCGTGGCCAGCGGGGACTCAGCCGGTGTCCAGCTCGATAACTTTGTGAGCGAGGTGAAGAATAACACCCAGGACCAAGCCAGGGCCAGCTTGGCTCTTGCTGTGATCGGTGAGGCAGGATTGAGACTTGGTGCGAGCTTCCCGGTGCCGCCGGAACTTTTCCTGAACCAGTTCAGCAACGAGTATGACAAGGTCTCGTTGGCTGCCGCTGTCGCACTTGGACGAGCTGGTGCTGGGAACGTCTCTGTGTATCTTCCCGTCATCCTGCAGGCGATGGCAAAGAAGGGCAACACTCAGTACCTACTGCTCCAATCTATCAAGGAAATCCTGCAGCAAGCGGCGCTGTCCTCAACGGATATCAGCCGGTACTCCGGCACCATTTGGGACCATATTTTGGCCTTGACGGATGCCGAGGACAACAAGGCAGTCTGCGCCGAATGCGCGGGTCGCATGGTTATCATTGACCCCAAGACGTATATGCCGAAGCTTGAGGTTCGTCAGAGCTCTCTTGTTTGTTTGTCACATATCAGTTGATCATGCTAACATTTCGAAACTAGGCTCTACTCAAGGACAAGTCGCCTGTGCTGAGGGCCATTGCCGTCCAGGCTTTGAGATACACACTGCCAGACGATAATGAGGCCTTTGACGCGGTCCTTAGATCGTCGCTCTTTGACATGCTCAAGACTGTCCTCGAAGATCCCGAGTTGGAGATTCGCCGTCATGCCCTGTCTACCCTCAACTCTGCCGCCCACAACAAGCCCGAGCTGATCATGGGCCGTTTCAACCAGTTGATTCCTTATGTCATGAAGGAGACGGTCATCAACCCTGACCTCATCAGGGAGGTGACCCTGGGCCCTTACAAGCACAAGATCGACGACGGCTTGGAGGTCCGCAAGGTAGCATACGAGACGTTGTATGCGCTCATGGAGACGGCCTTCTCACGGATTTCTATCATTGATCTCTACGACCGCATCATTGCCGGTCTCTCTGACGAGCACGATATCCGTGCGCTCTGCAACCTCATAGTGTCCAAGCTTGTCTATCTCGACTCGGCTGAGACGATCCGCCGGTTGGATCCTATTGCCGCGGCCTTTAGGGCTACGCTCTCGACTAAGCTCAAGAACACGGCGGTCAAGCAGGAGATTGAGAAGCAGGCCGAGGCCAACCGGGCGGTGCTCCGCGTGACTTTGCTGCTTGGTGACAAGCTCAAGTCGGAGCTGGCGACGGCGGGCGGTGCGGCGACTGGCGGGCATGAGGTGTGGACTAGCTATTGGGATTGGGTCAACAAGGACTTCAATGAACAGCTCAAGGCTGTGAGGGAGGAGATTAAGAGTTTGTCTTGGAATACTATTAGTGCTTCGTCTTAGGTGGAGCGTGTAGGGGGGCTGGGGCTTGGATTTTGGCTTTGGTCGGGAGAGGAGGTGGTGGCGGTGGAGCCGGTGAGAGAGGCACTAGGGGAGGTGACGACATCTTGTGAAGCAATGCGAAGTAGCAAGGGAGATAATGAGACGGGAACTAGAGCCGCGAACAAGATGGAAATTGGAGGTTTATTCATTGAGACGGAGACTAGAGGAGCTGAGAGGACGGGAGCGGGCGGAGAAGCCGTTGAGAACAGAGGAGCCAGCAGAGGGGCAAGTGAAAAGGAACCCACGGACGACGTGGAGAAACATGAAGAGGGTAGATAAGGAGTGGAGGAGGAAAGTTTGTTGAGAGGTTGAGGGGGATGGGGTGGAAAGGAGGAAAATAGAGTGGTGAGCGGTTTGTATGGGTGTTTTTAAGCGATTATTGGGGAGGCTTTGAGATGTCTGTTTTGGTGGTTTTGTGTATCGTCACTTTGGGGGTGGGGGGGGGGGGTTAGCCATTGTAAAGTTTTGTGAGTGTGCATGGATATTGTTGATAGGAATTAAGAAAAGAGCGATTGCGTATACTGGTGGTTGACATGCCGTGAACGTAAAAGTGGCACTGCCTGCAGGTTGGTTATTCAAGACATGCTGCCATTGTTTAACCATGCTTCTAGCATTGTCCTCGGTTCCTGAAATGTTCTGACCATGATCCACACGACAAAACTGGAGTTGGTCATAACCATGATGGAAATCTAATAGTAGTCTATTCTGCTAACTCTAATTTTGGTTCTGCTTTGACCCATAAGAAATTCCCTTCTTTTTTCCTTTTTTTTTCCCTTTATTTGAACCCCCAAGCCCGAGAATTCACTCCAGCTCAATAGTCCCAGGAGGCTTGCTGGTAATATCATACGTAACCCTAGCAACACCATCCACCTCGTTGACAATCCTCCTCGCAATCTTCTTGAGAAGATCAAACTTGAACTCATACGGTTCAGCCGTCATGAAGTTTGTGGTGGTAACCGCACGGAGGATGATGATGTACCCATACACACGAGCGTCACCCATCACACCAACCGCCCTGTTGGTGTCAAGACCAGCGTAAGCCTGGGACATCTCATTGTAGATACCCGCCTCACGGATCATGCTGATAAAGATGTGATCAGCCTTGCGGGCGATAGCCACACGCTCGGGGGTGACCTCGCCAATGATTCTGATGGCGATACCGGGACCGGGGAAAGGGTGGCGCATGACGAGATCCTCGTGGATGCCGAGTTGACGGCCAAACTCACGGACTTCGTCCTTGAACAGCTCGCGCAGGGGTTCGATGAGCTTGAGGCCTTGGCCGTTCATCATGCGGGCGGGGAGACCGCCGACGTTGTGGTGGGTCTTGATGGTGGCGGAGGGACCCTTGAAGCTGAGGGACTCGATGACGTCGGGGTAGAGGGTGCCCTGGAGGAAGTACTCGACCTTGCCGGCGTTGGGGGTGTTCTCGGCGGCCTTTTCGATTCTGATGGCCTCCTCCTCGAAGAGGTCGATGAAGGTGCTGCCGATGACCTTGCGCTTGGCCTCGGGCTCGGTGAGGCCCTTGAGGCGGCTGAGGAAGAGGTCGGCGCCGTCGATGACGGTGAGGTTGATGCCGAGGTGCTTCTCGAGTGTCTCCTTTACTTGCTGGCACTCGTTAAGACGCATGACACCGTTGTCGACGAGGACGGCGTGGAATCTGTCACCTATGTAATGTGTCAGTGGACTGTGCAGGTCAACTTTGAAAATCAAACAACTTACCAATAGCCTCAGTCATGAGACGGGCAGCGACTGTACTGTCGACACCACCGGAAACGGCACCAATGACCTGGGCCTTGGGGCCAACGAGCTTGCGAATGCGCTGAATCTCGTGCTGGATGAAGTCACTCATGACCCAGTGTTGTCTGGCACCGCAGATATCGACGGCGAAGTTCTTGAAAAGCTCAACACCGCGGGGAGTGTGCTCGACCTCGGGGTGGAACTGGACGCCGAAGACGGGCTTGGTCTCGTGGGCAATGCCGGCAAACTCAGAGTTAGGAGTGCTGGCAAGGATGGTGAAGCCCTCGGGAAGCTTGACCAGCTTGTCGAAGTGGCTCATGTAGACTGTTTGAATTCGAGTCAATGAAAACGAACCGAGTATATTTGGAAGGGTAGTACGTACCATGCATCTCATCACCAAGGCCTTGGAAGAGCTTGTTGACGTGGTCAGCACCCTCAACCTTCTTGATGGTGACATCCTTTGAATCATCAAGTCAGCACGCTTATTTTTGCAAAACAGTCAACCAAGTCTAAACCTACCGCATGACCGTATTCCCTAGCCTCACCAGCGGCAACGTTGGCCGAGTTGGCCCGCCAAGCGATCTCCTGGCAACCATAGCAGATGCCAAGAATGGGGACACCCAGGTCGAAGACGGCGGGGTCGGCGTCTTTGATACTCAAGTCAGTTCATGACATCCTGCGCCTTGATCACCCCCTGAATTTGGGATGAGTAAACTCACGAGGAGCAGCCTCATCATAGACTGAGGCGGGACCTGGAGTTGGAAATGGTGGTTAGCGATTATGTCTCAACCTCAAACTCAAGATCAGCCTATGATAAGGGGTATGATAACATACCACCACTGAGGATGACACCCTTTGGCTTCCATGTCAAATCGGCAATCTTGGTGGTGCATGGGAGCATCTCAGCATAGATGTTAAGAGATCTGAGACATCTTAGGATCAAGTGGCTGGTCTGGGAGCCAAAGTCCAACAGGAGGATGGTCTACGAAAAAAAGAGGTCATGAGTGAGTGAGTGGTTCATCATGGTGGTGGTGAGCTGATAAGAAGTTTGCGATGCGCCCAGCGCATGGAGGGGTAATTTTTCTGAAAAGATCAAAACACTTCAACTCACATCGAAGGTCTGGTTGGGGGCCTCGGCCTCGGCGGAAGTAGCAGCAGCCATTGTGTCTGAATAATCAAAAGGGGGTATCTCTTGCTTGCTGAAATCCGATGGAGCAAGCGATTGTGAAGGACAGCCGTTTTATTAACCTATGATTCACAACAGCCAGGGCAAAAAAATAAAATTTTCCACTCGATGGAGGGGCGAGATCGGTAACACGCTCCCCCACTCTGCAGCTTGGAGGGGTGACCCTCCAAGAAATCCCCGTCTTTAATAGAGGGTGGTCCGTGTGTAAGTGCTTATCAGTGAAGGAGACTTTCCTATTTGGGCAGTACTTTAATACTCACACGCCATTCTTGAGATGAGAAGACAAGATGTGACAATAAACTTTCCCATGAAATATCATCCTAGTCATTGAAATGCGGAATAGGTGTTTCTGACCATCTTTTGGTAACATTGTTGCATAGAGAAAACCAAGAGTCATGGCTGCAGGGTCAACGACACCAACCGTGGTGCCCCAAAGTACCGGTACTTACTCCACACCCTTCAGCCCAGAGCTCAAGCCACAGCAAGCGGGTCCCGAAGTTCAATCAAGCAAATCGACTCCACTGCGCAAGCCGTCGTTGTCCCTGAACATGCATCGCCATTTCTCAAGCTCCTTGACAGCTCCATATCAACAACATCCCCAGCCATAACCACACCCGCCATTATCCACGCGCATATCCATCCATACCTACTTGAATCATACACATCGCTTGGGGCATCAGCAACAAAAAACCACAACAATGTCCCAACCACGACCCCCTCCCACATCATCAGGCAACCCATCCGCCCCTCCCCAAAAAGAACCCTCCTCCTCCCACGCCACTGGCCTCCGCTACCCCTCCAACGGTAAAACCATCTACCACCGCCACCTCTCCCGCAGCCGAACCGCCGAGCTCTCCCAAGCCTCCTTCGCCTACCTCTTCTCCGAAATGGTCACCTACGCCCAAAGGCGAGTAACCGGGATCCAAGACCTCGAGAAACGGTACCATTCCCCCTTTCCTCCCTTTTCCCCTCCTCCATACTAACCTTTTCATTACCCCAGCCTCAACACCCAAGGCCACCCTCTAGGCCTAAAACTCCTCGACCTCCTCCTCATCCGCGAACCCCCCCGCTCCCAATCCCGCCCCCTCAACATCATCACCCTCCTCCACTTCATCAAGATCAACCTCTGGCAACACCTCTTTGGCCGGCAAGCCGACCGCCTCGAAAAATCCTCCGATCCCGACGCGCCAGACGAGTACATGATTATTGACAACGAACCCCTCGTCAACGCTTACATCTCTGTCCCAAAGGAAATGTCACAGCTCAACTGCGCGGCGTTTGTGGCCGGCATCATCGAGGGGGTGTGTGACGGGGCGGTTTTTCCTGCGAGGGTCACGGCCCATAGCGTGGGGAGTAAGGAGGAGGGGGAGATGTGGCCGGGGAAGACGGTGTTTTTGGTCAAGTTCCAGCCCGAGGTGTTGGAGCGGGAGGCGTTGATTGGTGGGAAGGGTTAGGAATGAGAAGAATTGCTGCGGTTTGGGTGGTCTAAAGGTGGTGGAATGGAGTGGGTTTGCATATGTTATGGCGTTTATGGAGTTGGGCAAGCAAAGTGTTTCTAATGGTAAGGCAAGCGATTTGTTTACAGATGTTATGGGTGTGACCAGAATAGCAGCTATTGCACTTGGTTAATATTGAGCAGTTGAGGATCAAGAAAAAAGATAGAGTAAACGAGCGCTCATAAAGAGGGCTGTATCAATTGGTTATGGACTATGTGTATCAATCTGAAACCTGATGGGTATAATTTCCTGCTCCGATATGCGCCCCAAACACCTATCCGATAATCCACAGGAACCCCCATTTTGTCCGAGCTGATGCAACCTGATGACCCTGTGAAACCAAGCCAAACGCCAAAGCAATGCTCTTCAGTCTGAAATTGCCCCGAATGCCGAATGTCGTTACCATCCCAGCCATCAGTGACCACACGCGCGAGCGAGCGCAACCAGAGCTAGCTCAGACCAGCAATCAGCGCGGCAAGCCGCGGTACCCCGACCCCGGAGCGCGATGACCAGGGCGTCTGCGCGGGGCAGCATTCCCACGGCCAGCAGCACCCCCGGCCGCAGCAGCCCCAGCACCAGACGAAGTCCCAGGCCGGCTGTTGTTAGCCCACGGACCCTGGTGAGCATTCCCACCCCCAGGGCCCTTCGACATGAGCTCCTCCAACCCCAAGTCCCTCCAAGCCGGCTCCTTCACCTTCTGAGTCGCCTTTTGAATTCCGAAAGCGGCGTGCTGATCGGGGACGACATCGTCCTCGTCCTCGGGATTGACAGGCTGGAGGTGAGGCGGGACGTAAATGTCGTCGTTGGGGAGTTTGGAGTCCTTGCGGAACTCTTCGAGGAGGTCGGCGTGGAAGGAGTGGTGGAAATGGACGTAGGAGTAGTGGGCGTCTTTATTCTGAACCACCAAAAACATCAGTTATGAGCTATAATAGAAGGGGAAGGTTGGGGGGGGGGGGGCAAATACCATGCTGGCGTGTCCGATCCAGAGTCTAGCAATCGCCCGACTAGTCTCGGTGGCCTCAACCTCGAGGTTCTTCACCTCGAGCACCTCCGTGATATCCGGCAAAGAAACTATCTGGCTGGATGTGCGGCTGTCGAGCTCCCAGGAACTGGTGCTCGTCGCGTACGAGGCGTCGCTGTCGGTATCCGGGCCCTCGAGCTCAGAGGTTATATCCGCTTCGTTATTGTCGTGGTTGCGGTCGGCGTCACGGGCTTCGGCGTGGTTGCGGATCCAGTCGAGCAAAAGATCACCCTCTGTCTCAGGAGTGCTGTCTAGACCGAGACCGTCAGAGTCGCCGACGGAGGCGTTGTCGTCGAGGATTTGATCAGTGTGATCGGTCTGGGCGGGCAGGGCAAGTTGATTGCTGTGTTCGTCCTCGTAAGAAGGAAGATTCGGGTGCTGGATGTGAGAGGGGGGGGGAAGCGGGGGAGAAGAAGATCCGGCAGCGATTGGGTTGGAAGGTCGGTCGAGGTTGGCAGGGTCGACATGGAGGAGATCAACTTCGTCCTCTGTGTCTTCCCAAATGGTCTCGAGGTCCCGGCCGCCTTGATTCATCTTCGCACTGTGAAGCCTGTGGGCTTGGTATGATCCGTGCGTTGATGTGGCGCTTCGCTAGCGTGGTGGAAGAGAGAGAAGAGGGACGTGCGTTGTGGAGCTGCAGAAGTAGCGAGACTTCTGTTGCTGGGTGGTCTGTGCTTGAGAACCTTGATGGTCAGAGCAAGTTCACGACGGCTTGAAGCGTACAAGTTCAGCAAGGTTGCACTTCTAAAAGAGGTTGTGTTCAGGAAATCATCGCAGCATTCGAGGTTTGTGATTGATTTACTGCAACTTGGACCTCAAACGAGCAAAATGATGCAGCGATCCGCGCTCGAACAAGTTACTGCTGGCCCTTCTTAATTCTCGACAGACTTACAGGTAGGATGGGTCTCATTTTATGTGGTTAGCCTTGGTCTGTAAGTAGATTTGGGTACAGGGCCAAACTGTGTGTAAAGAAAGGGAGTAACAACATGGTCACGATTTGTGTTGGCTACACGTCGAGGAACAAGAACATATAATGAGATGAATGCCAGATCTTTCTTATTTGTGAGCGAAAACTATGCTACCAAAACTTCTTCACTATGAGACTTAGATCCAGCCAACTCAATTTCTCCTTTATCGGTCAGCTTCATCTATAAAAGACCAGTGGTGACCACCACGTTTTCCTTGCCATGGACGTCCCGAAATCTGCACCCGATCTAAGCCCAGTGTCTAATCTTCAAAACCCTCCAGTATTTCACAGATTTGAGGGTCACTTATTGTTATCAGTGGTAAGAAGCCCCCCTCCTGATTAATACCCCGCATGAGTTCAAAGTACCTCATGGGCATAAGCAGTGTTCTTAAAGAGGATCCGGCATCCTCGCCAATGCCATTCCAAAGCCCGGAGAGGTCCTTGGAGATGCACTCGTTGAAAATATGATCTTGGGCGTATTTTGAGACCGTTGTCATATCAACGTTGGGGACAGTGGTATTTGGCGAGGTATTCCATATCGCCAAAACACAGCTGTTGTACAGAAAACGCATCGACGGCGTCAAATCGGTAAAATTGTATACCCTCCCGCCATCTTCATTGATGTAGCCATCTATCAAAATTAGTTAACAAGTTCGCGCCCGAGTCATTAACGTGGCGATGGAGTTTTCCCTCGCAAAGTCGGACGTACCTTGAAGCATGTTGATAGCCTCTTGACAGTCATCCTGCACGATTGGTGCAGTTGGAAAGGTGATATTGCCAAGAAAGGAAGGGGTGAACCCCGTCACGCTGTCAAAGATATTTTTTATGAGTTCGGTCGCGTTGAAACAACCACTTGAGACTGATCTGCGGGCAACTTTGGACTCCGAGCTGGATCTCGACGAGAGGTTAGCCGCAACAATAGAGTCATTTGCCCCAGAGGGCAGCTCCGCGTGCGAATGCCAGCCCATGATCTCCCACCACGTTCTGACAGCTATGCTGGACGGTAAAAACTCCGTCTTCAGCCCACCAAAGGGAAAGGTAGTGTTGTCGCCAACCCCCCAAACCGCTCCAGACTTGTTGGTGTTGATACAATGATCAAAAATGTAGTCCTTGGTCCACGACACAACTGTTTGCATCGGTACATCCGGGATCGGGATTGACTTGTTGAAGGCGGACTGGTAGAGGATGGCGCTGCACTTCTCGTTCATGATCCAGATGTAGTCCTTTGGGCTGTTGAATGTGTAGTTGGTGGTGTACTGGCCTGATCGTTGTTAGCTACCCAGATAAGACCTTCCGACTGGTAGGGACATTGACCTACTGGCAAGCGTGTCAAAGACACTTTGGCAGTCTTCGGTCCACTGAGCAAAGGCAGGTTTGAAACCCAATTCAAAACACAAAACGTTTGGCGGAAGTTTTGGCGGATCGTCCCTAGGATGGAGGACAGCAGGGGGGGTGAAATCCGGGTCCCAGTACATGAAGGTAAAATTCAGAGGGTTCTCCTTGTCGTCGTTGACCCAAGTCGCCGCGAGCGCACTCTCCACATGACATGTGAAATTCAACAAGCTGTCGATGAGCTTGTCCTTTTTGATGATGGATACTTTGTTGGGACTGACGTTGCAGAAAAACCCCTCGCACAGTTTGGGCATTTTGATATCGCAGTGTCCAGGCTCGAGGGTCACATACTCCGAGGTGTAGTTGCCTGTACATTGTTCGTGTTAGAGAAACATGGGCCTGCTGTGTTGTTGTCTGACACGGGCATCTTGTGGAAATATGTCGACATACCAGCATACTCAGCAATGAGTTCTGTGCAGTCTGCTGAGTGGAGGTATGCCTGTTCTGAGCAAGATCTCTCCTCCAACGAAGGCTGGGCGAATGCCAACCCAAGGAGGGGAGTAGGGAATAAGAGAATCCACAGCATCATGTCGAGTTGTGTTGTGAGTCTCGAGTGTGGTGTGTGTTTGATTTTGGGAAATTTGCGATTGATTTCTGGAATCAGGCTGCCTTTTTTTCCAGAGAAGGACCAAAATATATACCTGAGAGGCAAGTAGGGAAGTCACAAATCACTGATGTCACCAAGTCCCGCTCGTATGTTTTGCGAGATCGGTTGACCGCACCTGCCATTTTACTTGTGTGACTAACATTCTCGGGTGCGGACCATCCACCTCGAAAGGCTCGAATTCTCCGCCAACAATGGCATCAGCTGCAGCATTTTACCCTTTGCTTCTGGCAAAAACAGGTCACGCCCTCCCCCCGTCCTCCTACCGCCCCATCTTGTTGTTCAAGAGGCTGAGGCATCCCACAGGTTGATCGTACGTCGAATAGCGTCGCCGAGGGCGGTAGGCAAAATCCACACCATAAAGTAAGGATCATTAACGTCCCGGATATCATCCTCTCCGTAAGACCACCCACCCCACCAGTTGTGGGCGATACACGGCTTGAATATGTTTTGCTGGGCCATATTGGCCAGGTCAGTCATGATGACTCCCGCCCTTGACGGGTAGTTGTAAACGAGGACACTGCAACTGCCGTTGTTGCCAGTGCACAGGGCTTAGGCCTTGGGCTCGAATAATTCCACTTTGTCGTCTCGGTTTCCGATTTCCAGTTCTTGTTAACAACCATGTGAAACAGAAACTACCGGCCCTCTATAGGTAGTAGGCATGTAGCAATGTCGTGTATTCATATAGGGAACACTTACTCCAAAGCTGCTCTATTGCTGTCTGGCAGTCCTCCTTCACCGGTGTCGATGTCTTGTTTGACAGGAAACATCGCGCTCTGGGATTCTTTGATTTGCTGGGCAGGTCATCCTCGTTCGGGGGAGGACCAACAGCAACATCCGGGTCCTTCTGCCAGGCGAAATCGATGACCTTATTGGTAGCGTTCCATGTCTCGGAAATGCCGTTTGTGATATGGCCCTGCTGGTAGAGGAATGCGGTAACGTCCAGCAGAATCTAGGTCAGATTGACATGTGCGATCTTTGGGTATATTTTACAGTTATATTGGACATTATACGCGTCAAAACTTATGGTACTTTCCGGGTCGGCGTGCTCTGCGGCGTATTCGTCGACTTGTTTGAGGACTTGATAGCAGTCGACTGCGCTCTCAATTGCTTTGAAGATAGGGCCACGCGGCATGGCCTGGACTTCAGATGATGCGGCCACAACCAACTTCAAAAGGTTGAAACAGAAAATGAGGGTGAGAACAATCATGATGATGTTGATGTTTTCCTTGGTCTCTAGGAGATGTGGATGATGATCATGTTTAAGAAGTTAGCTGTACACTTATCAAAGATCTCCCTGTTATATAGCCAGCAATAAGGAGAGACAATTTTAGATATGTCGGAAACTGTTACATCCGCCGGTTCCGTTACAATTGATTCGTCTCATCTACTGTTTTTATCTCCCGCCTGACAGATGTGTTCGCTTTACAAGCAAAGAAACATACGTGCGTATTGTAGCTACCATTCATGATTCCTTGTCCTTATTGGATGAGAATTGTAGCGAAAATCTCGGGCATATGTGACAGGAAATCAACACTTACTATATCAATCTCTAGTTCCATATCGCCAATAAAGCTCCGGGTGTGGGACAATCTCGCTGTTCCCAGTGACTCCTCGTTGGGCCCGCTGACAACCTCATGTTGGGTGTCAACAAGGGTTTGTTGCCTGTTTTGCGAATTTGATTCGTAATCGCGCTTTGATTCATAAAGGCCAGCACATGCCACTTTTCAAGCCAAACGTGCCACATTTTCATCAAATTTGAAAATCTTTTCGAATTTCCATCATTCGGCTGTGGTAGTCAATCGTCAAACTAGTGCGTGGTGTGTGGTTAGATTGAGCCATGTCTCAGGAATGGGATGTAGCGCCTGCTGCAGTTGTGACAGACTTTGTCGAGCGGTAAGCAAACCACCTTCCATTCCAACCTCCCAGCATTATGCCAACAGTAACGGCTGACCAATTTTCATTGACTGCTTAGCTGTTCTCAATTACACCTCCCTCTTGTCATTCTTTCAGCGTCTTGCATCTTGCTCACATGGCAATTGCGAAAAACATCACCCGCCCAACAACGTACCGCTCAACCCCCCGCCAAATCTGTCCGCGGTGCCTTCCTGACTGCCCTGGAAGGTTTGCTACTGGCGACGACCCTGTCGCTAAACTGGGAGGGCCTCGCTGCGAGTGCGTCTGCTAGTTCCCGGGTCGGCATCACCTTCGGATCCTACCTAGGCGGATTGTATGTCTTGTCTCTGCTGCCGCCCACCGGCCTTGAGCATGCCGGAAGGGTTACTCGCTATCATTCGGCTGCACTCTATGCTATTTTCTTGCTCTTGTCCGCCGTAACCAGTGGTGCTGATTCCATCGCTACCAATGTATCATTATCTCTGCTCATCACTGCGTTGCTCTCGCCGCGCCCGCACCAGAAGGATGGCCCCCTTGAGCTGGACGCGACGGGGGAATCCCAGTCCAGCATTTTTGGTCTTTGGTCGTTTGCCTGGCTAGACGGCATGCTCTTCAAGGCCTGGCGCACTGGGAGTCTCCAGTCTCGAGACGTACCGGAGCCGGCTTTGCTCACCGCTGCCGACAAGCTTGTGATTCGAACCAAGCTGAGGAGGTGAGTCGTACATCTACCGTTATTACCACGTGTAAAATGTATTGTGCTGACATTTCCCACCTGAGACCCAGTGGGTCCCTTGTTCAAAGCCTTCTACGATACTTCGGACCCCAGCTGGCAGTTCAGGGCGTTGTGGCGGTTGCTTGGGCAGTCCTGACCTTCATGCCCACTTTGTTGTTAAGGTCAATCCTTCAATTTGTCGAGGGGCCAACAGAGTCCTCCATCGAGGAAGCTCAGGGTTATGTGGTGCTCGTATTTGTCACCAGTGTTTTGGCATCCGCTGCTGAGGCTCGAACCATCTGGCTTGGCCAGAAGATTGGGCTCCGGCTGAAGACAATCCTGATCGGCGAGGTCTATCACAAAGCCCTGAGGCGGCCGATGGCCGTTGGATCCTCGAGCGGTGGGCCTGAAGGGCAAACGGCTGATATTGGCACCATCATGAACCTCTTCACCGGCGATATCAACCAACTTGCTGATTTGGGGGCAAACATGCATCAGGTCTGGGCCTCAGTCCCCGTTCAAATATTCATGGCTGTCACGCTGCTCTACTGGACTCTGGGACTCAGCGCGTTTGCAGGAATTGTGGTGATGGGCCTGATGGTGCCTGTCAACTCACGCATCGCCCGAAGTTTGGGTGCCAACCATATGCAAGTCATGGCTGCATCAGATGCCAGAATCCAGAGCACTACCGAGATGATGCGAAGTATTCGAGTGATCAAGCTCATTGCTTGGGACTCCTTTTTTCAGCAAAAGATAGGTGACCAACGGGCCGCCGAACTCAAGGTACTTGATACCCGTTATATGCTCTGGACGATCTCTGCAACAATCTGGTACGGTCTGCCGTTGCTGATTACCTTTTCTTCTTTCTTTTGTTACACAATAATCGGGGGAAATTCATTGACACCTTCACTTACCTTCACGTCACTATCTCTCTTCAACCTCTTGAAGTCGCCACTCGACGACTTGATCAGCATTATTGGACGTGTCCAGAATTTCCTTGTAGCCGCCATGCGGGTGGAGGGTTTCTTGGATGAGGAGGAAACAGAGAAACATCACGTTCTTGGTTCTCACACTGGTGGCCAAGGGGAAATTGGCTTCGAGCACGCGACATTCTCCTGGCCAGGACAGAGCAAGGCGGCAGATCTCTCATCAAAGGACGGCAAGACAACAGAAAATCCCAAATCCTTCTCTCTGAAAAATCTTGACTTCAAATTCAAGGTCGGAAAGCTCAATATCGTCATTGGAGCTACCGGAAGCGGCAAGTCTTCACTCCTACACGCGCTGTTGGGAGAGATGCCGCTTGTATCGGGAAATGTTAGGATGCCTGCCGCAGCTTCTCGCGAAATTCTACCTAAGGACGAGAAGACAGATTTGGTCGAGGGTGTAGCGTTTTGTGCTCAGGAGGCTTGGCTAACCAATAACACGGTGCGCAACAACATCCTCTTCGGTCAACCGCTTATTGAAGAGCGCTACAGGGCTGTCCTACAGGCCTGCGCTCTTAAGCCTGACCTGAAAATACTGCCTCAAGGTGATCTAACCTCCGTTGGAGAGGGAGGCGTTTCTCTCTCTGGTGGACAGAAACAGCGCGTCTCCCTCGCACGCGCTGTTTATTCCAATGCGCGCCATCTGCTTCTTGATGACTGCTTGAGTGCTGTTGATGCTCACACCGCTTCCTGGGTCTTCGAAAGGTGCATTACAGGACGCTTGATGCAAGGACGTACGTGCATTCTGGCTACACACAATGTAGCGCTTACAGCACCTGGCGCGGATTACATCCTCCGCATCGACAATGGTACCGTGGTTGCCGCGGGTTCGCAACAGGACTTGGCAGTTCAAGGTCAACTTCCGGAACTTGCAAATGGGCCGGGCAACCATGCCACGCCTGAGGGGGTACCGGGCGATCGGGAAGCGGATCAGAAGCCCGTGGACGAAAAGAAGGGCAAGGAAGGGGAAAAGTCTGACTCGCATGCCACTGAACCTGCTGGGCCCAACACGAGACAGACCATCATCAAATATCTCGCTTCCATGGGCGGACGGAAATACTGGATCTCCCTGGTCGTCTTCTTCGTGGCGCAACAAGTTGGTTCCATCACCGTGAACTGGTGGGTTCAACGACTCTCCAACGCGACGGTAGAAGTGCAACGCCGAGAAGATAATACAATCGAAGAGTCTCACTCATGGAGATTGAAGCACTACTTTGCGATCTACGGTCTTCTCCTTGCTGTTTATTTTGCAGTCGGCTTCATGAGACTGTACATGTTGTCCATCGGCTCGCTGACGGCCTCGGTACGCATCCACGATAGTCTTCTCAAGTCTGTTCTGAGTGCGGCTCTCAAGTTTTTCGATGATAAATCATTTGGTCAGTTGATCGGAGTGTTCTCTGGGGACATGCGGACTGTTGATCAAGACTTGGCCATGCTCGCCATTGCCACCCTACATTTCGTAGGGTCACTTATTGCTACCACCATTCTCATCGTCTTCATTACTCCGCAGTTCTCCCTCCCAGCGATTCTCATCTCTCTTGTCTACTACTTTATTACCAAGGTCTACATCTCCTCATCGAGCGACCTCAAAGCTCTTGAATCGACGCGCCAGTCTCGGGTTCTCCAGCATTTTCATGAGACGCTCTCGGGAACCGTCACTATCCGTGCCTACGGCGCAGAGAGGGAATATCTGACTCAAAGTTCAGCTCTTCTTCGGAAGCTAAACCAGCCTTCATTCTTTCTATGGGCCACGGAAAGGTGGTTGGTTCTCCGGCTCAGTCTTACAAGTGCCTTTGTTTCCCTATTTGCGGGCTCCTTTTCCATCAGGAGTAACGGGGATGCCGGCACTATTGGGCTCAAGGCTCATCCCGTCATATGCAGCGATTGTTTTCTCGGAACAGGTACTGTGGTTGATTCGATATTACATGGTGACTATCCAGAACATGACTGCGTAAGTCGTCTACACTCTTCAAAGCAGTGAATCAACAAGCTAATTCCATGCCTTCTAGTCTCCAGCGCGTTTGTGGCTGCTTGGATGAAAGTACCGGGGCACAAGAGGCAAAATCCACAAGGGAACCAAGCAAAGAATGGCCTTCGTCAGGCTTCGTAGAATACCGCACAGTCTCTGCTCGTTACGCAGCCCATCTAGACCCCGTACTTAGGGATCTTTCTTTCCAAGTCCGGCCTCTGGAGAGGGTGGGCATCGTCGGCCGTACTGGTGCTGGAAAATCTAGTCTGGCACTCACTCTGCTGCGCGGCCTCGAGATCGAGAGCGGGCAGATTCTGATCGACGGGTTGGACACCAAAACGATCGATTTGCACACGCTGCGCAGCCGGCTATCCTATGTACCGCAAGACCCGACGCTCTTTGCTGGGACGTTGCGTCTGAATCTCGACCCATACAACGAACACACAGACGAGGAGGTTCTCGATGCCTTGAAACGAGTTGGCTTGTTCGATTCAAGTGAAGGAAGAGGGAAGTTTACGGATTTATCCTTCACTCTTGCAGAAAGGGGCTCAAACATATCCCAGGGACAGAGGCAACTCGTGTGCATTGCAAGTTCTGTGCTGAAAGGCTCCAAGGTAGTCGTCCTGGACGAAGCGACAGCGTCGATTGACCATGAATCGGATATCAAGATTCAGGCGTGTATCCGGAGCATGGAGGCCACTGTCATTACGATTGCACATCGTCTACGTACTGTCATCGACTATGATCGCATTCTGAGTCTGGACGCCGGGTGCATGAAGGAGTGCGACCATTCGTGGGAGTTGCTTCAGCAGAAGAACGGCGTCTTCAGGGGGATGTGTGATGCGGCGGTGGACCGGGAAGAGTTGTTTGCACTTTCTAAGGCGGCATGGGATAGTAGGCATACCGCCTGATGTTACGGACCTCGCATTTATTTGTTTTGAATGTGATGAAGCAAGCTCATGAAGAGTGGGATATAGCGCAGCTGATATAGTAAGGTAGGTGGCTAAATCTTCCACTATCAAGCTAGAATTTCTTTGGATAAAGAGGCCTAAAAATGAGGATGCTTTCAGACCCTAAACTTGTTTTGTATTCCAAAACAAATTATGGCCCTCATCGGAGACTTGTACGGCCACCATAAGGTCGACGTGGGCCTGCATTGAAAAGTGTTGATACTATTGCACCCATTCGGAGGGTCAGCACTTGGCCGCTGGTATGTGAGGAGAGGGAATTTCACCCCATTTTTGCCATCCGATCGAGGCAAAACTCAGCAGACCTTTCTCAAAGCCGCAAGACCAAACCACGATGTTCGGTATTTATTTTTCTGTCTCTTTAAAACTCCCGATGTCCCGCGGTCATCCCAGGCTGTTTTGTTTCGCCGTTCAATTTATCATGAATGATTTTTTTCTTTGAAAAAAGGACGACGTAACGAACACGACACTACACACAGTCTAATAAACCACCAATCCAAACCAATCAAACACCAACATCAATGCCAGATGCATTCGTTGATACAGGATGGCACCATTGCAACACCCTCGAGGCAGTTGACGTGTGGGACAAGCCAACACACCCATACCTGTTCGTGGTGATCACAGACTCCGCGGGCACAAAAACCATTGTTATATGTCCAGTCTCTTCCACGGCTCGTTTGGCTCCAACATTGAGCAGCCACAGGATCTCAACTGACGGGACACCTCATATCGCTGCTCGAAACCCGTCAATAAAAACCAAAGCACGATCAAATTCCCGTAGAATTACACCACGCAGCCCTCAACAATCGTATGGCTACAGCCCCGATTATGACGACAACGATACCCCTTCCTCATCCTCGAGACCAACTTACACTGGCTACGAAAGCTCTTCGCGATCAAGCAGTAACACCAGAACCCACGCTCCCCAGGGACAACAATCAATCCCGGATACTTCTTATCCCCCATCCTCATCATCCGCATCTTCCTCCTCTCGATCATCAATATCACCCCCCTCACAAAGACAACAGCCTCCTACAGCGGCGTTGGATCCCCCTGTGCACAAATCTTCAGTCACAAACTCGGAAGAGTCTACTCACCCACTTGATAATAGCAGCACAACCTCGGAAAATCATGGCGCAGATGATCAACCACCTGCACCCCTAATCAAACCTTCTACACCACCACCACCGCCACCGCCACCACCACCTCCCCCTCCCCCTCCTTCCCAACCATCAACCACCAGCCCTCAACCAACCCCCACCCCAACTCCTGCTGGTCCAGATCTTCAGCTCCCTTCCATCCCCGGAATAACAGACAACAACAACAATAACCCTGGTCCCGAAGCTCAAAAACCTTTCGACGTCGCCAATCTACTCAAGATAGGCGGCAGCTCAGTCTTAGGGGGCGGGTTGACGCTCGTAGCGATTTTCTTTCTGGTCAAGTACTTTATAAGGAGAAAGCATGGTAAACAGGGTGGTGAGGGAGGGGATGCTGAAGGGAAGAATGGTGATTTGGAGGCTGGACTTGGGGGGATGGGGGTTGGGCTTGGTGGGATAGGGATTGGACAACAACAGCCGCATCAGCAACAGATTGTCGACGATGGGAGCGGTAGTCAGCCGGCTGGTATATGACGGTCAAGGGGACCGGGAGCTGCTGCTCAGCCTGGCTCCCGGTTGGCGATGACGACGACCACGAAGATGGGGGCATTGGGCTATGCGATTCCGCAGCTGGTGCCTTTTCTCCTGGCTAGAGATTTCGTGAGGCATTTTCGGCAGTGATGGATGGGGGTGATCTGGATTTTGAGGGCTGGAGTTTGTATAATATCCATCAGCGAGGCGTTGAGGAATAATACCAATTTGTTTGTCAGATTTCCATCGGGCCTCGCAATCAGTCATCATGCACATGCGCCGCGTGGGTCGGGGTTGCCAAAAAATTCCACATAATTCCAGACCCGTCGGGTCAGCCTCCCTCCCTCGTGAAAGTTACACCAAGGCATGTGTTATGGAACAGTTGATTTCCTTGGGCGTGGGTTTTTGGGCTTCATAGCCTCAACTGCGCCTTCAACGACCCAGCCCGAACAGGTGCGACCGGGCGGGTCCAACACGTCACCAAAGTTGAGCCCCGGCTCCGGCGCTGTTTGGGGGCAGGTAGTAGGTAGGACCATGAAACCTAAAATGCTTGATCATCTGTGTGTTCCGCTGCGGCTTTTTTTCTTTCTTTTTTTCTTTTTTCACCCTGTCAATTCTTTCTCGCCGCTGGTGACTTTTTTTTTGTCTTGTGTTCGGGGTGACGGATTGAACTGTGCGGCCGAGAGAGCTTTGAATGAAGAGGGATGCTGAGACTTGATTGAGAAGGCGCAGCAACAACCAACTTCGATCGCCGACGGCACATAAGACTCTGTGTGTTCCGTTTTTGGGTTTGTGATGCAGAAAAAAAAAAGTGAGTGGAAAAGGGGGATGTTGGAAAATTTTGTTCATTTCATTGACAGAGAGTGGAAAGGCCTGGCTAGAGATATCACCTCGAAACAAGCATCAACCTTGAAATACATACCAAAGGCTTTAAATTAACTCGATAACTCTGCGCAAAACATCCCAAGGTCAGTAGAAGTTCTCACCACCAGGAATGTCACCAACTTAAAGCCAGCTAACGCCCTTGGCAGATCCTCACGAGGAATTTTGGCCGGTCAACTAATACCTCACAATGGCTCCCATCAATTCGTCTCCCGTTGATGCCACAAGACCACCCCCAATAAGCGAATGGACCGGGTTTATGGTTACTCTATTCGCGATACCCTGCATCCTCATGACCATCGCAGCAGTCTGGGCAGTATGGAGGCAGAAGCAAATCCGCACAATGTCCTTGGTTGTTAGTATGGACTATGAAGTTACTGAGGTGGCCAATGTTCGGACGCCTCTCTTGGCTCTACCATCTACACCACAACTCAAGGCCAAAAACACGCTTGAAATCCCGGGGATGCACACTCCATCAATCAGTCCGGCGCTGTCGGGGAGGACAGAAATCGCATCACCTGTGGAGGAAGAGCAGCGGCACAAGTTCAAGGATATTCCCGAGTTTTCAATCAGCAGGGCGACATGAAAGGGGCTAATGAGCATTGTTTGGCATTCAGAGGCGTTGTGGGCACTAATCGGCATACCTACCTATAAGGCATGGCAGAGAGTTACCAGGCAGAAGGCACACCTATTCACTGGACATACGTTGACGGGGAAAGCGTGACTGTCACGCCTGCCCCCCCGGAGGCACTGGTGATGTGATCACGCAATTGCTGCCTGGTAATGAAACACTTCTCCATCATTCATCTAAGGCCATGAAATCACAAGGAATGAGAACTGCAATCAAAATTCATTGATCAAGTTCTCATCTGACTCCAGCAAAATTCACTCACCTCCGAAACCCCGATGCTGCCCTCAACACCAACGGACCAGTTTCAGGCCCGCTCGCCGGCTCCGAATCGGAACCAAACCGAAGGAGGACGCTACTTCCTGCCTCCACCGCGTTGCAAACCGCCCGACTTTGGCCTAGCCGGTGAGCTGGTGCCGACTCAAACTGCTCGCCTAGCCCAGGAGGCAATACAGTCCGTCGAGACGCGAACTGCAAAGTCACGTCAGAAACTAGCGGGACAGCGGAGACCGTTCGATCTGAAATGTTTTGGTCATTCAATTTGGTGGTCAGATCGCAATCAGAAGCCGTGCGTGTGACAGTAACTGACCACCCATTCAACACTACGACCTGTCTTGAGAATGGCAATCCTGCGACTTTCCTGATCTGCTTCATCAACAAGCACTCACTCTCACGCCCAAGTCCCCCATTGTTTCCGATCACCCTTACAAGACCTTCAGGCCACCCGAGTCAGACGTCCAAACCCGGAGCCCCACTTCAAAATGGGCGGCGCTGACGATGACATCCCCATCCCGGACATCCCGGTTCACGTCTATGTGATCATCGGCTGCGTGGCCGTCTCGCTAGCCTTGTCGCAGATACTCGGGCTGTGGCTGACGGGGTTTAAGGAGCCGACTCCGACGGGGCCGGTGTATGTTAGGACGACTAGGACGCTGCATGATAAGCCGAGTGAGTCGACGCTTGTGGGTGTGGGGGATGCTGTGACAGGGGCGCTGTCGATGGATGCTACGGGAAGAGAGTCTGGGGAGGTTGGGGAGTCGGTGGAGGGGAAGAAGGTTGGGGAGGTTGGGGAGTCGGTGGAGGGGAAGAAGGTTGGGGAGGTGGAGAAAATCAAAGAGGAAGGGGATATCAAGGAAGATAACAAAGAGACAGAGGATATCAAGGAGGATAACGAGAGTGGGGAGATCAGGGAGCCGGATGGGATCAAGGAGAAGCCTGAGGTGTAGATGGGGTGATTTTGGTGGATGGACGCGCTGCTTTTGATACCCGGGAACGAAAGGGAATTATCGACTGGTTGGTGCGTTGAATTTTGAAGCTGGGATTTCTTTCGAGAGTGTATGGATATGTATGATAAAGCCGACCAACCTTTGAGAATGTACCACTACCACTTTTACTCAGGCTCACATACTCACTACCGTGAAGCCAGATAGCTACTGATGGTATTTGCCACACACATTGCTAATATTTGCCCTACGTGCCTAGTATCATGTTTCCTAGGTTGTTTTCCATACCCACGATCATTACATATCGCCCACTTACAGCTAACTATCACCCGCTACATCTCGATGCCTATCTCTTCTTTCCAGCCACTGTCTACCCACAAAAGCAAACATTCAAAATGCCCACAAACGCTGAAACAGCCCTCGGCATCATCGTCGCCTTTCTCGTCGCCGTCATCCTCGTCGTCCTTATCTGACTCACCACTGAACACTGCAACAAAAGGCGCAAAAGCAAGGCACACCAGCAAATCCCGCTTCACCACACTGGTACTACAGCCTCCTTCCCTTTCCTCATTCAAGAGACGTAACAAACAAACAGCTACAGCCTAACCCGCCTTCACCCCGAGGACATAGAGCCACCCCCAATACCGCACCGGAACCTTGACCAAACCACCTCCAGCACGCCCCCATCGGCCTTCAACTCCATGGCCTCCTCCTCTCCGTACTGCTAGACCGCGCTCCTACAACCGCGACTCTCCTACCCTACCAAGATCCGTCTCTTCCTCATCAATCGAAGAAAAGGGGAAAGAACCTGAGAGATTCTACGAAGCATCGTCTTCAAAGCCACCGGCAGCGACGGCATCAGCGGCGGCGGTGAAATAGGGGAGAGTGGAGACGAATGGCTTGGCATCCAGGGGTAAAAAAAGGGGTCTTCACCACCGTCGGTAGAGCCATTTTGAGGGATCAATCTGGGGATTATTATGTTACAGAACTCATACACAAAAACAATTCTACTACAAGATGTAACCGAAATATGGACAGATCCCTTCTGACTACCTACCAAAGACAAATACATTGCTGCATAGAAACGTGGGTAAAACAGTGATAACAAACAAAACACAAGTCCACCCGGTAAACCCAATCCCCTGAACCATAACCATTCTGCTTGTTCCACGGTGACCTTGCTGGCCACCAACAAAGCCGACATCGCTCCCCCGGACCATCGGCTCCCTATCGGCCCAACACAAAACCACGGGAAATGTCGTGGCATATATGATACAACCCCCCCCCCCTCTCTCTTCAGCGTGGCAACTGGCAACCAACCACCACCACCACCACCGTGGCAATCCGTGTATCAGTCACACGCGAGTTCCCGTACCAACCCCCCTCAATTGGCAGTGAATAATCCCGCTCTCTCTTCTGACTCCTCACCCATTCGTCATCATCCTTCGTCTGGCAACCATGGGAAAATAACATGACCCATGATAGATTCTGTGTGTCAAGTGGCGAGCACTGTGCCTGCCATTTTCTTCTCGATCGTACGCCATGCCATGCACACAGAATCTTACAAACACGGCTTGTGAAACCTGATAAAAACAAACACCACTCCAGAGACAGCATATTGACTCAAGTCACGACAGTAGACCCAAAAGAGTGGGATAACGCTCATGCCTCAGCATCGAGCTCCGATTTCATTTGTTCGTTCCCTCTCGGGGCCGGCTACCTATCACCCATCCTGATGAGAGCGCGTTATCCCGTCGCTTAATATCGTGATATGTTGATATGATGATGATTAAGTTCCCAAAGCCAACCACACACACCCACAAGTCGGAGGCTTCCTCTATCCCAGTCCACCACCACCACACCCCTGATGCTATCAGAAAGACACCTTGGTACCCCTTTGGCCCGATTTATACTTGTCGCTTGCAGCAGCCCGCCAGCCCATATCCACAGAGGAAAACCCCCTCAACTGACAAAAGTGATGCAACTCCACAACGCCGTCGCATAACATGTCTAAAACCAGCAATAAAACCCCAGTAGACAACGAGGGAAAAGAAATAACAATAACGCCGGGACCGCGGTGGGTCATGGACCAAAGTATCCCCTTTTGGCCAAAAATGATTATACAGAGACTAACAAAAAACCAGCAAATGCGCGGGGGGTATCATATGGGGCGGAGGGGTGAAAAAACCGTTGTCGCTCTCGGTGGCCGCACTTTCCCACAGAGGAACAAATTTACTGGAACCCGGAAAACTGCGTAATGCATCAAGATGTAGAGGTCGCCACACGCTGCTCAGACGTTGTCGCGGGTCCCCAGAAGGAGATCGATATGCCGTGACAAAGGAGACGATAAAAAGATAATTCGGGGGTCGGTTCGGGCTGTGCCGCAAGAAACGGGTCGAGCCGTCCATAGAAAGAGCCGTGAGAAAGAGATAGTGCTGACAGCGCTTAGCTATTCTGGGTCTCGCTGCGCCAGATGCCCGCGCCGAGAGGCTTGCTGACTCCAAACCCTACACCGACTGCAATGCCGACGATGAGGAAGATGAGTAGGATCTTGACGAGAATTCGGTTCCGTTTGCTGAGGCCGGCGAGGCAGTTGCAGGCGCGCCGATTCTTTTTGGCGGCCTTGGCTTTTCGCTTCCAGTGATCTTGCCCGGGCCAAACTTGGCAATCGGTTCCTCCCTTTGTGCACTCGGCTGATCTCTTGTGGCTGTTCTCGTTGGTGATCATGGCCTCGATATCGGTGTCGAAGGGGTTTAATCGGTGAGTGGTAGCTGGTGTAGACAAGTCCGAGAGTCGCGACGCTGACGTGTCCTTCTCGGTCAGTGTTGGGAATGGTTCGGGTGTGAGTGTCTCTTGAGAAGTCTTGGTAGACAGCCGGGACATTGACGTCGTCTCGACGGTCAAGCCCGGCTTGTTGTTGTTGTTGTTATCTGTTAGAGAAGCCATGATGTGTGCTGGTTCTGTGAGCGTTGTTTAATGGCTGGGAGCTGTAATTATATCGCGGCAGTGGCCGTTCTGGATCTGTATGACAGAGTCGATTGATGTTCGTGTTCGAAGTTCCGGGAGTCGGACGGACAAAAGGCAAAGCCACGAGAAGTCGTTTGCCTGGAAGGTGTCAGTCTGGGGGGACACAGAGAGTTACAGCTCACAGGCCGCTGGGAAAGCGTGACGAGGGCTGTGACAGGTCTCAGGTTTTCAGGTGCTCTTACGATTAGAATGGTCGACTGACGATGCTTGTGAATACCGAGGTGAATAGAGCTTGTTGTTGAAGCAAAAAGGGCCCGTGACCCCTTCCCAGCAGGAGATTGAGCGGGCTCGGTTGGAGAAATGTCTGGCAGATGGTGTCGAACGGTGTGTTGTGGCATCCGCCGCCTTCCTCTCAAAAACGTCCTCGGGGGCCGTTCCACTCGCCTTGTCAGCGGTGTTTTGAGGGCAATTGGGGCTGTTGATGACGGAGGGAGAGCTGTGAGGTTCGTTCGAGAGGAATGAGAAGATGGGCGACTGGGCAGAGAAATGGGAAATGAGAAGCAGCACCTCCCCCCGGACCAAGCTGCAAAGACAACAGGTACCCAGGTACCTCCTGGCGAATGCACCAATGGGAAAGGGGCGGTCAGCGGCAGCACTTGGCAGCACTTGGACCTGGGGGTCTGGGCTGCCATTCGCTGGCACCTGCTGAGCTGTGGATAGCTCGAGCTCCACTTCCATTCTCGGTCATACAGCCCCACTGTGATTGGCCGGCCGGCTGGCGCTAGCTTCTGGGGTTGCAAAGCTGCAAACTCCATCTCCCGCATGCTGCATGTGGAGCGGAACAGCCTGAACCTGAACAGGCACAGGGACTTCCTGAACACAATACAGGGAACAGCGCTGAAGAGCTAATCCACATGAACGAGGCCTCTGACGTGCTGCATAAAGTGCTCCAGAAGAGATGACCCACAATATTTCTGGACCAGATTGCGACGCGTTTTATGAAGGCAGGCCGCCGTGTCGGGTCGCCGCCATGGTCAGAGGTGTGTTGTTTAAGACGACGACGACGGGACTCCAGGGACGGACACGGCAGATATGTCGGTCAACTGTTGGCCGTGGCCGCTCCGGCAATCAGACGAAGACACCAAGACCACCAGTTTTTTGGTCAGATGATGGAACGACGGGGGCCATTGCCAAAGACCTGGGCTGGCAATGGCCAGCCCTAGGACCTGGGCAGGGACTAAAAGTCTTGACCGGTTCGTTTGCTAGGTAGTGTCGCCTTCGATTTTGTGGTTGGATTATAGGATTAGGATCGTATACTGTGTGATGCCACCTGCTACGATGGGAAAGTGTAGATAAGAAACGGCAAGCAATATCTTGTCATCAGCCTCAACGACCCAAAAGGCTGGTGCTGCCCAGACGCCGCGCGAACTTCCACCGAGCAAAGAACCGACCATCCCACCTCACCACACCATCACGAGTGCGTTGGATGCGCTGGGTGCGCTGGGTGCGCAAATGCAGTTCGCCCGCACGGTAGTACACTGCAAAAGTAGCAGCGACGCCCGGCATTTTGACGCATTTCTTCCGCTCTTTTCATTTTACCCTTCCGTGCGTGCAGCCACTATGTACTTGGCTTTTGGAGGCTTGACAGAGCAGAGAATGGTTCGGACGCGGTCCCGGCTCGCCTTGCCACGCATCCATCCCAACCATCCATCCATTCCCCCACTGCTGCAAGCCACGCCGGTGCCCATCACGAACTTGGACTGCTGCTTGAGGCAATGAGGCAAAAGGGCAATGGGCAAGCTGGAGCATAGCACAACAGCAAGACCACGCATGTGAGGTATGTTTGCGCTGCGCAGCAGGTAATTAACTGCCGACGTAAGAGTCTCGAATCTTGATGCAGTCTCACAACCGATCGACGCCTCTGGACCGTTTGGATAAGATACGGCTCATACAGAAACAGCTTGCCAGCCAAAGTTCCACCTTCATAAACCTGTTATCGTCTTCCTCTTCTTCTCCCCCGCTTCTTCTTCGCGTAGGTATCCCGTGCGTGTGTGTCCCGCTTATTTTTCTAAACGCGCAAACTTGCCAAAGATAAATTGGATGGTGCCTCCAAGCGATGTACCAGCATGACATGGTGAAGGCGCCAAGCTTCATGTTTCGGGCCTCCTCGTCTTTCTCAAATCATGCTCCAACGGACTTCCCTCTTTTGAAATGCCGCACAGCCGGCGGTTTTGGGGCCTGCTTGGTTCTCATCCTTTTTGACCTCTTTGCAAGTTTGTGGGCTATTGATGCCATCAACACACTAGGGGACTAGGTAGGGGAGTTAAGTTAATATCCAACGCACGTGTGTCTTCCCTGTCCTCTAGCTGGGCTGGGCAGTTGAAGAAGGTGAGGGGGAAAAGCACGTTCTATTTCCTACTTTTACACAATTCCTTTTCCAATATTGCTTCTTCCAACCCCCCCACCCGCTATACATACAGCACATAAACGTGTTGTGTGGGCTTGCGGCGCGAGGAATCGACCTTTCCTGCTTCAACACCGGATGCAAGCCCACTGTCAAAAAAAAGGAGACAACTGGACTGGCTGTTCTCCTTTTTGGCTTTTTGACTTTCCGCTAGTGCGTGCGGCACAAGCAGCTTTTGGGCCATCATCCAGAGTGTTGCATCTTCCCTATCTTAAAAATTGGGTCGCTGCCCACTATGCTATTCTGGGACTAGTGTGTGGCCTCAGGAGTTTTGAGTGTGACACTGCGGGGTCGTTTTCCCGTTCAAGCCTAGAACCCTGTCAGAGTTGGAATCCTTGCTCCTTCTCTCTGTTGGAGCGGGCGGGGAGCCTGTGTGGAAAACCACAAGCGGCGGTTCGGTTGGGCTGAGTGCATTCACCATTGATTCGTTGGCTGCTGTTCTGGAACTCCGAAAATCTGTGTGGAATTTTTGGAGTAGGAGATCTGGGATCTGGGGATCTGGATGGATCTCGTGGGCAACGGTTTTGGGTTCCAGACCATGAGAAGGTGTGGGTAGGGAGGGTAGAACGAGTTGCCTGCCCGTTGAAGACACCGAGAAGACACAGACCAAACAGCCTTTATTCTAGAGCGATGGTTTCCGCGGATACAAACCTCACTTGTTGTTTACTTCTTTATGGTCGTGAGTTTTCTCTAGTCTGCTTTATCCGAAGTCTTTGTTACGTTTCTCTCATTCTCACAAGTGGCGGGAAAGGATATTTGTTTGTCAAGTCTACGCGAGTCATCAAACTGCACTGCCCACACGAAAATCCGATATCAAAAGCCCGTATTTACCCCTTATCTGCTATTACGTCCCAAACCTTGAACCCGACACTTGCAGTCTCACAATACGCGGACTGAAACTTTGACCTCCGACTCCGCCTCAAAATTGATTGCCTTTTTGTCTTTGATGAGCTACTTTTCTAGAATACGAGAACATGCAGTTCGTGGATACACAGGTAAGGTCCAGGGGATACGCGTAACGTAGTTGATGAGCCTTGTTACACACGCCACGCATGTTGTGGACAAAAAGATGGAGGCTGCTACCTGAAAAGTTGCACAGTTCATTGATTGTAGTTGTAAAGAAGTCTTTTTAGCATGGTTAAATACCCCTGAGAAGGTGACTCTCTCAAAACAGTCGGGAGGTATACACTCCCTTGCTTTCATCACATGCTCGAAGCCATCATTGAAGAAAAGCTCGGATGATTGCTTGCTCTTGCATCAAGTGAGCTTCATCTCATGTATTGTCAGCATGCAAGGCACAGCACAGGCATCAAGCTCAAAAGTGCTCGCATTGGCGCGTAGCCAACCTCCCGCTATATGAGATGATCGACTGTGATGGGACGGATGATTGACGGTGTCAAAGCAGGTCCACCACCATCGTTCATTATCCTGTGGGGAATCTACCTCATGAGATGGCGCAATAAGCCAAAGCAACGCTACGCAACAACAACAACAGCGTTCGCTACAACCGGGCCTGGATCCTAGATCACAATGGCTTTGTGACTCTGATGGAGGTTAGCGCGGATATCATACTTGTTGGGAACAGGAGGGTTTTGGCGGTGATTTTGTGATAATAGCAATCTAACCCCAGAGGAAAGGGCTTGTTGGCCAATGATGAGACTCTCTTTTCTGAGGAGTGATGGATAGTAATACCATTCTCTCTTATACTTTTAGCGCCCATCACGGTTATGTTAACTATAGATAAAACTATTTCGACCAATTCAATGTGCAGTATACTTACAACCTCCATCTCATCGCATGCAAAGCCGGGGGCCATAAGGCTAGGGTAACCGACAAGTCACACACACCTTCCTCGTTCCATTCTTCCGCTAGACCGTAAATGCGAGCCGAGCAAGTGAATTGGTCCGGGTGGCTAATTCGGTGTTGAGGGCGTGCGAGTGTAAACGTCGAGATTACGCCTGAGGGCGCGCGTGGGAGCGTTCATGAAGACAAAGCCCGCGCGCGTGGCCGCGGCGTTCGTGAGATTTGTGTAACCAGCCTAGTTCTTCTTTTTCTTGAAATTCCGCTGGAAGATGCAAAGTCCTGTTGATCTCGATAATAATTCAGACGAAAATAATCAAACTACGGAAAGCCACAAAATAGTAATTTCCACAAAGTGAAAACAACGAAACATGGGATTTGGAACCAAGGCTCTAGCTATCAGCCACCTGCTCGAGGCAAATACCCCAAAATTCCCAAAGTCCTCCCATCCCAAATTATCATTCCCCTATTTTCCTCTCGGCGTCTTTAGTCGCAAGAACACCATTCCCTTGGCGTCTTTCGTCGCAAGTGAGCCCGGTGCTCAAAAGAAATCAGTGTCCCCCAACCCCATCCTAGGGTTCGCAAGGGAACGGCGCTTTGTTGCCGCTGGTGCCGCAGACGTGGCATGTCCTGGGGTAGGTGAAACGAGTTAGCAAGGTGATATTGGAAGATTTGAGATCAAGAATCGGGAAGAGCAAGGTGAGAATGAAAGAACATACCATGTGACCTGTTCGAGGTACTGTTTCTTGATGAGGGAAACAGGGATTATTAGAGTGATTAGTTTATCTGGAGAGAAGTAGGTCAGTGTATGGTCTGATGTAAACAAAGAGCTCTAAGGGGTTGAAGGAAAGTCCATACCTCCGGAATCCGAGTCCTTAAAGGCTTCGGCTGAGGATCTCTTGTTTGTCATCCTCTTGTTAGCCACCTTCTTGTTTGTCCACTTCTTAGCCATTGTGATTGTTTTGTTTGACAGTAAACAGATAGTTGGCTAGGCAGGCAGGTAGGTAGGCAGGTGATGGGCCACCAGACGCAAGGTGATCGAACGAAGAGGCTCCTCAATGTTTGAGGGTCAAATGCAGGTACGATCTCAAAATTGCTGGGAATTTATACTCGACAGAGGAGTAACTTCCTATGCAACCGTGCTTTTCGTGTATCATATTGCTTATTCACTTTGAAAGCTCTACACTTCACTTTGTTGGCCAATTGCCCTCCCCACAGGACAGGTCCTACCAGTGGTATTATAGAACTGGGAGCAAGACGGTCAATATGGCAGCTACGCGCGCAAGGCAACTAGGCAGCGTACGCGCGCGGTTGATAATGTGACGTTTCGTCGCTCCCAAAGATCAGATGGGTATCGCGGGGCCATCTCCATCCTTCCCATCCTATCGTCCACATTCTCCGCCTGGTGAATAGGACACGCGTCCCATGGGAAGAGTTGAGATGAAACAGACAGTGCTGTGGTCAGCGGCCGTTTGCTCGACTGTCACTAGACAGGAATATAAGCCGTGGTGTTAGTAGGACTTCTATAAAGAGCCCTAGATCTTCTTCCTCAGTGGTGAAATGGTCCTGCTTCTTCGAACAATAGCAGAATCCTTAGACCTACCCAGAGACTACAAAGCTCCACAGTAGAATGATCGCCTCTATGATGTTGGTCTTCCTCTCCATGGCCATTCAGCTAGCCGTAGCCGGCCCGGTTGAGCCCGCCTCCGCACAACAACAGAAAAGCTCGCCACTCGGCGCCTCACCACCCTCAGCGCACATCCTATTGTCAATGATTGCCACAGCGTAATCAACAATATAGGCAGTAAGCTGAAATCCTCTAAAATCAACACACTGTCTACCTCTCCACCTGCATTTCTCTGAACATAAAATGAAAAGCATCATCCGGAACAGGAAAACTGGACCTCGATCCTCGAATGTGCGTGACCATCGGTGTCGACAGTTGTGCTGGCTTCATTTGCAACTACCACAACTTACCGTATCAACTCAACCTACCCATCGCCGCCATAGAAATGACTGCCTATGTCTACGACCCTTGCGTTCGAAACGACCAGTATGGCCAGTGGGCCAACGTATGGTATGAGCTTGTATTGGTGCACATGCCTATCATACCAACGCCACCCACAAACCCATGGCACAACAAGATCAGAATCGAAGATGTAAGACAGTTTCTGGGAGGAAACATACCAGCCGAGGTGGATGGTAGTATCTCACAGCCTTGAGCAGCTGCGGCAGGATAATCTGGGGAAAATTGGCCGGTATGTAGGGGACGTCGACGGTCGTATCTCATAGAGTAAGCGGCTGGGGGGGATTATCTTGGAAGAACTTTGATCGTGATGAGAGGAGGATATTAATTGTATCATGTTCTGAGAAGTCGTCTGGATGCACCGCTCAGTAATCATCTACATAGAATGTAGAAATATTTTGGTGCCCAGGTCGAAAATAAGTGTTTTCTGAAATCAAAGAAGTGTTATGCGTTGCGGTCCAAATCAAATCTCTCTCTGCACAAAACTCGGTTGATGGTTACCCCGCCATACTGTCACAAGTCAGTAGACGTCGGAGGGAAAGTGGCGGGCTTCTCTGTCACAATGTTCCTTCCTTGATTGATATTCAAGTATAGAACACCCTGCCCAAAGTTGTCACAGATCCACGCTCTGTTTCTCAGACACACACCACCACACCCAGCGGCCCAACACCCTATCAGCACGATGCTGAGCTTTACAATCCTCTCTGTGCTTTGGCTCGCCGGACTCGCTCTTGGGGGGCAGGCTGATCCTGCAAAACACGGCTGGATTTTCGACAGTATGATGAATGAACTGGATTGCTACCACGTCTTGGATCAATTCAACGGTAAGTCGCCATGTATAGCCTCTCTCTACTACAAGGCTCTCTATCCTCTTGCTAACTACGACTGCCTTACATAGAAAGCGCTGATGCAAATCAAGTCATCGAGCTGAAGTATGAAGAGCCCAAAGAAATGCTCTACAAAGGCTGCAGCATCATACTCAGCCAACTCGATATCGAGCCCTGGTACACGTACATTAGCTTGAAGCAGATCTTGCCCAGCCTAGCGAAATATCTTTACTACCAACCGAATATCAAAAATGACTGGGAGGCGACATTCAACATCTCGGAAAACCAGTCGAATAGCGAATCAAAAATAGCATACGTCAAGATCCTGAAGTATTCCACCGATGACCAAAACGAGGCCAATACATCTGCCAATTCTGTCGACCCCGACGCAACTTGTTTCAACATGACAGAATTTCCACCACTCGTCCAGGCAGACTGTCAGGCATCGTTTGATTGTTAGTGTTCCCCTCTGACTTTCCGAGCCTACCCAGGCCCCCAAAAACAATGCCTAGATATAGCAGAAACTAACTGATCACCAGTATGGACTACTGGAACCAAAGCCTTCTTTCCGAATCACGAAAACATGACATGGGAGTCTGGTTTTCTTAGCTTCTCCAACGACAGCTCCACTTGCCAGTTTGTGATGTATAACAATGACGATTATACTGCATACGTGAGCCTGACCGACGTTACCGACCAAGTCCAGCATCAAATCATTGACCCTTGCGTCTCTAACGGTTGGTATGGAGGTTGGCAAAAGAATAATACGGGGCTGTATCTGGACTTCAAGAACAGGGGCGTGCTGGCATGGTTCCTACCCAAAGAGTTCTTTCCCGCTGTTAGATGGACCTTTCCTGAGTGGTTAAAAGACCCGGCGGATCCGTGGGATTACCCGCCATATCTCGTGTTCAACAAGAGCAAGAGCCAAGTGTTCAACAAGAGCGAGAGCCAAGTGTTCAACAAGAGCGAGAGCCAAGTGTTCAACCAGAATGAGAGCCAAGCAATCTCTGATTGATATCATGGCGGGTACTGGAAGGCAGGCAGTGCGGGCAATGAGCTGATCTGAGCTGAGCAGGCCCTTGACTTGATTTGGCTCAGGCCGGCCACGTCAAACTTAACTTGAAGGTATTATAACTTAACTTGGCTTAGGAAGATTATTAAATGTACCGGAAGTGGTTTTTCCCGGCCGGGTGGGCCGGAGCACTGGTTCCGCGGAGGGCACCTGTGGGTAGGTTCAGAGGGTGCCCTGCCGGCCACCTCACTACCATACCGGATATCACCACGTTTTGTGGGGCTAGAGAGATCACTGATCTTCTGAGCTGAGCCAATAGGAAGATTTGACTTGGCTCAGGCCAATATAGGGATGACTTGACTTGGCTCAGCTCAGCTCAACTGAGCCAAGTCAAGTCAAGTCTGGCTCAGCTCATTGCCCACACTGAAGGCAGGCTTGGACGGGTTTAACATAGCTCAAATAGTGGTTAGTAGGCTGAGCTTTCGTCTCACCAAAGGAACTTTTTGGGACCTCATCGTGGTCATTAATCCACACCGTCATGTGAGTCTTGATTTTTCACCGTGTTGCTTGGACGTCCAATCCTTTGAATGAAAAGTGTGAGGCATGACAATTTAGAGCCGATTGTTCTTGTACTCTTTCATCTGACGACACATTACTGCCATTCTTCCATCTTCACCCAGATGTTTCATGCGAAGTATCGACCGGGCCACCATTCTTGTTACACTGCAGATGACCGTCGCAAGTATCTACGTCGTCAGCGTACTGCTGACCAACATGAGATTTACAACCTCTAGAGAACTCATTCAACCCTTACCGAACTGTTGGTCCAGATAAATATTTCGTCTTTCCCCCTGAGAACCCTTTTTCATTGTTAGCCTTTCAAAAAGTCAAAATATACATGAAGGGGTCGGCGAAGGACAATGTCACCTTCCTCACCTGCCACACATTATGAAAAATAAAAACCCGAAAACTTGAACTACGAACATACTAAGCACCTATATTCACCTGCGCAAAACACACACAAAAAGAGAGAAAAAAAAAGGCCTCCGTCTACAACGTGCTCAAATAGGTGAACACCAAAACCGCCTACAACACACCCATGACTCAGCAATTGTGACCATAAAGAAGATGCACACTACCCAGCAACAAAGTACCTCCCTACAGACCTCCACGATCAACACCCAGGCTCTAATACCTAGCACATCTCACAACAACCAGACACAAATCCCAACCAAATGTCTATCAACATTCTCTCCGTTTTCTTTTCATGAGCGGGGAATCATATATATCCTCTTTATCAAAAACCTCATAATAAAGTCACAAAAATACCAAACACCCTCCTCCCAACCCAACCCAACCCATCCATCTCTTTGAACAAAACAAAAAGAAAAGCCACAAAAAAAAAACGCCTGCCTCTTTCATAAAAGTCATCTTGTAGAAAATGAAATCCCTTTCACACTCTTCTTTTCCCATATCATACCACCCATCCTGACCAAAAGACGTGTATATACATCTTTTTTTTCCCCACCTCATATCCAAAACCACCCCCAACATCCCCCTTAAAACTCCCCATCCCCACCAGCCCCCATCACCCCCGCAACCCAAAGCCCAACCAGCCCCCACCAATTCACATTCCAACCCCTCGCCAACCCATTCAACCCCTGACCCCGTCTATACACCGTCTCCGAAATCGACTGCTGCTCCTTTGCCTGCTTCCCACCCTTCTTCCTTCCCCTCGCTGTCTCCACCACCTTCGAAGGCTTAACAACAGCATGCGACCCCTCCTCATTGACAATACTGTACATCGTCCCAAACACACCATTGTATTTCCCAACAGGGACAATAGTCTCCAAACTTTCTGGCGGTGCCACAGCACTCTTCTTGCCCTTGACAGGAGGAGGCGCCTCGAGAGCTTGGAGGTACTCTGGTGTGTTGAGGACCGCGACCTGACCTCTGCGGAGGACCGTCTCGAGTGGGAGCTTGATGCACAGCGCTACAGCCGAGGAGCAGAATTTGGCGATGGAGAAGCTCGCGGGAGCAATCTCCCTGTCGATCATGAATTGTGTTCGGAGAACAAGGGGTGTTGAAAGGGTAAGGAGAGGGTGGACGAGGGAGTGGAGGACCGTTGGGAAAAAGACGGCGGAGGGGCAGAAGTAGGAGGGGAGGCTGCGGAGGGCGGTCAAGGTGCGCCTGGAAGCGCGAGAGGTGGATGTGATAATCATGCTAAACGTTTTTTAGTACATGGTAGAATTAGACAGCTTCAAGGAGGCATACCGTGTGCGGATCAGATCCAGGGGAGAGAGGATCAGGCCAGTAACAACCGCCGCGGCGGCAGCCACACAAAGAGAGGCCCATGGATATGGTGCGGCGATATCAATCAACCGGTCGGCATCGTTCTTGACGCCGAGGTCTGGTACGTTGAGAAGGGCGCTGAGTAGACTCCTGGACCAGTTCTCCAGTAACGAGTGGAGTACCGAGTAGATAAAGGTCACGTTTGAACCCTTCCAAACACCCCACGCACCTTCCTTCTGCCATAGCTGTGCGATAACTTCCAACACAGAGTCGGGGGTTCGAATGGCCAGTTGATGTGCCGGTACAGGGGCTGGCTTTCCAGGCGTTCGTGGGGTATCAAGTGGGGTCATTGGGTTCGGTCTCCCGCGGGTAGCTGTTGGAGAGGGAGTTCGTGGTTGGTTTGAGGTGAAATATGCCATTTCATCGGCATCCGAGTCTGAGTCGGGGACTTGTTCCTGTAAGTTGTGTGTTAGTCGTCTGCTTGGTATGGAAGCGGGGCGTGGTTCGATGGTGTTGCCCACGATACCCAACGGCAGCATACCTCGTCGTCAAACTGAGTATTCCACGGATTCGCAGCAGCAGCAGCCGCTGCTTGTGCTTGCTGTCGCCTTGCCTCCTCTGCTTCCTCAGCGGCAGCTGCTAGTCCTCCCAAATCATCCTGTTTCCTGACTTGCATGATGGTCTTGGCCACATCGAAGGGTTGGGCCATCAGCACCGACGAGTACTTCCATAGCAGCTCGTCCAGCACCTCCTTGACTGTCTGTACAACTGATGGCGAAGGCTCGGCTATGTAGTTCTTGTAGTCGATGTCGGAAAAGAGGTCGCGTGCCTTACTAGCATACTGGCCGGTTGAGTTGCCGGCTTGGGCGAAGGCTTTTGGGCCGGGTGGTGTGGGGAGGGACTCGGGAGGTTCGCCGATCGAAGGGGGAATGTAGTAGGGTCTCAGGGGATTGACCCCGTTGTCACTGTGGTGAGCCATGCTGGTTACTGGTGCTTCTGTAGGCGTAGGAGCATGTTATGGTGGTGAATTTTGGGCTGGGTTCTCTGGCGAATTGCCCCGCTGATATTTCGCATGTGCTGGGACACAATGAGATGCGGTGAAATCATTTGGCGATAAGCTAAGCATGCAAGAGCTACCCCAAAAGAGCCCAAGCGCCATCCCCATATTGCATTATCGGGGCCGCCGATAAGCGCCGCCCGCCCACCTCAATGCTTGGCTACTGTCATCTTTTGCGGGTAAATTTTCATATCGTTTATCGGGATGTTGAATGGACGAATGTGGGATCAGATAATGATAATTCATTATTCAGTTGCCTCCCTCGTCTCAAATAACCATACCTGCTCCACCGTGTGCCCTTTTTGCATGAGGCAGTGAATAGACACAGAGGAGCCCTCAGTTTGCGTATTGTATATATTGTACCTCTTGGCAGGGGTTTCTCGGCCATTAGGTTGTTTGTCACTCGCAGCTTTCCCCGGGTTTCGGAGCCTTCTAGGCTGTTTGCTTTTTCTCTCCGGCTTCCCACGCTTGTTTCCCTCTCAAGTCTTCCTGGAGATATAAACACACGCCAAACAGTCAAGATGTCGACCCAAAGAGTTTTTGCCAGCGTCCTCCCGAGATTAAGGGTTGCCTCCAGCAAGAATGCGACAACTTCCCTTGCACAACAGGCACAACAGCTCCGGTGCTACAGCAGGCCGACCGCCACCTTGAGACCTTCCGGTCCGGCCCGGTCCTCGGTGCTCTCCTCCGCCGCTGCCTCCGCCCCCGCCCCTCGCCGTGTATGTGTACCGGCCACATCCTCCACTCAACCTCGCACCTTGTCCACCTCAGCCTCACTTTTCCATGGTCATGTCGACACCCCAAAGCCAGGTGAAGAGTATGTGCAAAAACCCCCCTTTTCGACATCCCTGAACTAACACATCAAAGGCTTTGGGTAACCTTCATCGATAAGGAGGGTGTTGAGACTAAGATTGCCGTTTGCAAGGGCGACAACCTCTTGGATATTGCCCAGGCTCATGATTTGGAGATGGAGGGTGCCTGTGGCGGTTCCTGCGCCTGCTCGACATGCCACGTCATTGTTGAGGACCCTGACTACTACGACAAGATGCCCGAGCCGGATGATGATGAGAACGACATGCTCGATCTTGCCTTCGGTCTTACTGAGACCAGTCGGCTGGGCTGCCAGGTCATCATGACTCCCGAGCTGGATGGCCTCCGGGTCAAGCTCCCTCCCATGACAAGGAACCTTCAGTCGAGCGACTTCAACTAAGGCCTGCCAATATATATTGCATTCTCCGGATTATCGTTTCTTGGTCGGCGTTGCGGCAGCGATACACGGGCATAGTTGTTAAAGATAGATACCAAAAGCATAGGGGGCTGGCTAGTGCGTTTTCCGCGCAATAGCTCACGATGTAACTGATGACAAATCTTGCGGCTCCGGGATGGTCTGGGAATCTCTTGCTCTGATCGAGCATGTGTACATGTAAAATAGTAGTAAGGCATCCTATACTGGGGCCATGTGTAAATAAGATGTAACCTCTGCTCTATAAGCAGTAGAACACCCCTCTGTCTCCCCAACATCTGTAATGGAGAGATCACTCTATGCCTCCTCCAAGCCACCCTTCTTCAACCCTCCACCCCCATTCGCAATGAGGTCCAGGAAGCCTTTCCTGCTCATCTCGGTAATCTTCTCCTCCTTCCTCTTAACACCCACCATACCCTCCTTTCTGACCACCCTTTCCGCCTCCGAAGCCTTGACCTGAGCTGCGCGCACGGCATTGAAAAGTTTGACCACACCACGTTGCGCAACCTTTCTCAACCTCCTCTCCGTCGCCAAAAGCTGGCCAGTTGTCTCAGCACCATCCTCAAGTTCCTCCTCAATCTCGCCCGTCTGCAGGTTCAGTGTGCGCTTGGTGCTAGGTACCAACACATCTCTCACGCGGCCCTTCTCCATCGCCAACCGCTTCTGCTCGCGCAATCTCTTGCGTGCCTTGGCCTCGAGCGCAGTATCCACCAGCTGCTTCGCATTCTCCGCCGCTACCGCGCTGCGCGCTACAATTGGATCGGCGCGCTTGGAGGTAGGGAGTTTACTGGAAAGCATCTTGGAGATGGACGTCGCGAAGGCTTCTGGGTCGTTGCGCTTCGACTTCATGCGGTTCGCGCCTGTGCCAAGCCCATCGTCACTGCCGCTGTGGGCGTCGTCGTCCTCGTCTGAAGATCCGTCATCGCCATCGCCATCCTCGTCGCCGGAGGAGTTATCTGAAGCTGGCGCATCTTTGGCGACAAATTTCTTCTGTTTTGTCTCTGATTTTGGTTGTTGGGATTTGGACTTGGGATTTGGCGCCGAATCGCTGTCGGACTGGGAATCTGAGTCTTCGGCTTCGGTGGAGGCGCCGTCGTCGGCCTCGAGGTTGTCTAGATCCTCTTCGTCCGAATCGAGCAGGTTGGAGGGAATGGCACCGCCTTCGTCATTCTCGGAGTCTTCTTCCTCGGAGCTGCTGTGGTATGCGGCGACTTGTCTCTGCTTCTTGGTTGGTCTTTGTGCCTTGCCCTTGGGGCCGTCGCTGAAGGAGCGCTTCTTTAATGATGATCCTGCCATGGTGTGGGGTGCTGTTGCAAGTCAATTGCTGCAAAGACTTGTGATGGGTCTGGAGTTGATGCGGATGATTGTCCAGCGCACTCGTTGTTCGAGCGAGTTCCCCAGAAATTTTTGGCGGTGAATAGCGGCAGGAATGTGCCCCGCTGGTGAAGAGTGGAGCCGATGCCCCAAGCTTCTTGCTCCACTCGAGCTTTCAAGCTTCATTTTGTGGTGCTCAAGGTGGGCATGTGAAGCTTCGTCTGGCATCTAGGAAAACTCAATCTACATGACTACCAACTGTATAAATGTTTATTTTAGATCTTCTCACCTCTTCTAGTTGGAGCAATATTATTATCTCAGGAATTGCCAGTTTCTTCCATTGTACACTGGTCTCACAACATGGCATTCACCTTGGCCAAGTAGATGACTTCTCACGCAACAACAGGCCCACCCAAATGCCATTGTGTTTGTCGTAACCCGCGGCCCGGTCGCCGGTATCTCAACTAGGTTTCTGATCCTTCCTGGAGGTGATGTTTCGCCGTACTAACCGGTTGCCTTCTAGATATGGGTTCACCAAGACCAAAACAACCCTGCGCCAAGGTGGTAAGCCTGACTCTTTGAGGAACTATTGGCTTAGTTTACGCAGACATCCAGACAAGCGCGTTTACAATGGCAGTTCAAATACTCCTCCACATCCCGTGTCTCATCACAACAGCCTTATGCTCAATCTATGAGCGCGCAATCTTCTGATACCAGTCAGAATGGAAACTCTTGCGCCCACCACAACGGGTGTCCTTACCCTCAACCCATCCTGTCTCGCGACGACCAACCTATGGGTGGATGAACTTTGCACACGTCCCGCTTATGGTGGTGGACGATGCACTCGCTACAATCTAGGCATAGGCGAGGGTTGCTCCATGAGGGCTGCTGGCGCCACCGGCTATGATGAAAGAATTGCTTTCAGTGACTGCCCGGTTGGCATGACCCCAGCCTGGTCGTTCACTGGAACAGAGTTGCAAGATGTTTCCCTCGCCACCAGCTACTGCTGCCCGACCGGTTTTGACTTTTCTGTCTCAACCACCTCATGGCCAGGCTCAGGGACCTTGCGAGCTACTTGCATTGCCGAGTCGATTGAGCGGCTTTCGGGTCAAACGCTCACTCTGAACCAGGATACATATCGGGTAGAGACGTCTGGGAGATCCACCATCACCATTCGTGCCACGACCACGACCGCGGCATACGACTATGACCAAGACAAGATTTTTGCCCAAGCAGCGAGTGAGTGTTGAGCTTGTGCTGATGCTCCCTCTTACATCCGTTATACTGACCCTTTGCTAGCCATCTGGAAATACATCTACCCCGGTGCTGAGACGACATCAACATGCTATGGCATCGCTTGCAACCCAAGCAACCCCCTCCCACAACCCCCCGAGAAAACACCCCCTCCCTCCACCTTCACCTACACACCCCCTCCCCCCTTCCCAGCAAACCAATTCACCCCCGACCCGTCCTGCCTCGCCGAGTCCAACTTCTGGCAAGTCTCAACCTACTGCTGGATGTCCTGGCCCAACCCCTCCCCCGACTGGCTCCGCTGCACCCACACCGGCTTCGGCGAACCAAACACCTACCTCCACCCAGAATGCTTCCCCTCCGCCACCGTAGCCCCCCAATCCGCCGAGAACCCCGACATCCAAACCTGGTACTCGGAATGCCCGGTAGGCTACTCCGTCGCAAAAACCTTCACCTCGGGCCGCTTCGACCTCCCAACCTACGTCTTCAGCGAGCCCTCCCCCACCAAAACCTACGACGTAACCGCCACGGGCCTAGCCTGCTGCCCCTCGGGTAAATACCACTTCGAGTACCGCCGCGTCGAAACCTCCATCACCTCCCACAACGGCAGGCGCGAGACCGTCTCCCTCTACATCATGCCCTCCTGCATCGCCACCCGCGTCTCGGCTCTCTCGGGGAAGGGGATAGCAATGAAGGAGTGGTACAACACAGCCGTCTACGACAAGAAGCGAGACTTGGGGGAGCGACAGGCTAACCACGACGCGGAAGCTACCATCACCGATGCGTGGAACATGGATAATACCCTGTATGCACAGGCGATTCATCTCGGCTACACCGTCTTTCGCGATCAGTACACGTGCTACACCAACTGCGACGAGTATTTTTACAATTCCTTCAGGGATGTCGTGCCAAATACGTACAAGACTTGGAGCCCGCCAACGACGACGACTACTTCGACGAGTACTTCTGATGGGTCGTCGTCTACTGGAGACGGTGGCGGTGATAATGGTGATGGTGAGGGAGGGAATGGGGAGGAGGTGGTGTCTACCAGCTCGACAGCTGGTGCTGCTGAGCAAGTGGGACGGTCGGGGAGTATTATCATCACTTTGGTGACTGTGGTGACGGTAGTTATGGGGTTGGGTGCTTGAAGATGTGTGTATGGGAGTGTGATATGGGAAATGATGATACCCAGTGTGTATATGATGGATGATGTAATTACGATGGAGGTTATGTTGATGTGCGCTTATTTTGAGCCTTTACAGTTCCAAGAAACACCTTGTACGGCAACAGTGGGCATCGAAAAGAATTCAGTCCCGTTCTTCACAATTCATGATTTAATGTGTTAATATCACAGCAAGGGCATTGCCCAATCATGTCATGGCTACAGCATTACACACACGTCATGGACAGGCAGAAAAAGTAGCTATCCCAACTGATATTCATTAACTCCTGCTCCCTCAAACCCTGCTCTACAGCGCATTACCAATTACCTAGGAAAGAATCGCCCATGCCCAACACTCGACAGTCATTTCCTACCTCGACCTCGCCATCACCCACAACAAACAGTCACATCCTCCAACTCGCCACACCGCTTACTGTCATGTCTGTCTCGTCAACACACACGTCAGCTTCATCTTTCTTCCCTTCTTTTTCCAGAAACACTTACTTCCCCACCCTCGTCCAGTGAAACAACAAATACCCCAAAAACACCCCAAAGAAAATCGAGAACAGCACAAACCCATTATAGTACATCCCCATCCTATAATCTCGTCAGCATATCCCTTCAACCCCCTCCCCACCCTGAAAAGTACTCACAGCATCAACAAATAAGCCACCACAAAATTAACCAAATGCAACAACGCCCTCAAAAACTGCTCACAAAACCCCGGCCTATAACACTCGCACCCTTCCTTTCTCTCGTGTTCACCCCCAGTATGATGACTCTCCTCCTTCTGCCGCCGCGGCCTGCTCGCACACTGCCCGTCCACTTGTCCTATCCCCTCCCCATGTGCCGCATTCAGATTAACCGCACTTGCCACCCTCGACTGCTCCGCCGTCAGAGGCCTCAGAGACGACGAGGGCGTCATCCTCCTTCCTACAGGATGGGGAGGGACAGGTTCCGTATCTATCAAGATTATCTCACCGGGATGGCCGTGATGTTGGTGATGGGGGCATTTGTGGGCGTGGTGACGGAGGAGGTGGCGGTCGTATTCCCGAGTCAGGCGCCGGAGACCTTCTAGCAAAAGGGCGAGGAGGAGGACGGCGATGCAGGCTGCTGCCATATGGCCGTCGCTTCTGACTTGCTACGTCTCTGAGAGGAAGCAGGAGTCTATGGTGTTCCAGTTCCAGGTCATCTATTGCATAGGGGGTTAGCAAAGGGGAGGGAAATGGGAAGGGGAAGGGGAAGGGAAAGGGGAGGGAAATACTTTGATGAGACATGCTGGCTTTGTGACGGCGTCTTCGACGATGATGATGTCGATGGGGATGGGGACTGTGGTGGGGGCGGGGTTAGACATGCTGGGCTGTGGATGGGGTTTGGTTGGCGGTTGAGGCTGGGTGGGCGGTGGTGTGATGCTGGGCGTGAGGTTGTTGTGTTGACGGGAGTAAGTGCTTGTCGGAAGCAGATAGACGATGATTTTGGTGTCCTGGAGGTGGTTGGGCGGGGGTATACTGATGCTGGATGGTGATAATGGAAGACACGGGTTGTGAGGTAAACTTCTCATTAAATCTTGGACAATGGGAGCAATGCGTCCGCAGTCAAGGCAATTCTTACCCTGAATCAATTCGTTTCAAGAGTGCCTTCCTGCCCGGATTGATGGAAGGACCACCAACCTGCCTGGTCCGGTTCGCCGGACACAAGCCTCCGAGAAATGATGAAAAGGGCAGGCACGATGCAGAGAAGATGTAATGGATGGGGCATCACTGGTCAACCTCCTCTATCAAGGCCAAAAACACAAAGAGAGTATTACGCATAAATGGTATCACAATATCCAAACCCCACCTCCCACTCACTGATTCCCAACCACATACCTCGCCGTAGCAATCCTCATCCTCTTCCCCGCCCACAATATCGGCACAATCAACAACGAAAATACCCCCATAATCACCGTAAAACCTCCAAACGGAACCAAATACCCGTCCCTCTCAATCCACTGAATGACAAACAGCAACCAAATGAATGGCACCATTCCTCTCAAGATACAGATCATGGCAAAGCAGTCACTGGCGAGCTGGTTGTACGCGTCAATGAGCTGGAAAATGACCAGTTAGCTTCAATCTCATTGATATCATGGAAGGTGTGTGGGGTCACTCACATAACTGAACCACAAACTCGGCACCTGCGTCAACGCAAAAGCCACCATCCCGTACGCCACCTGAAGCCCAATCCACTGGTACTCCCCCGGATACTGCGCACAGAACCCAAACACCAACAGCCCACCCGTCCCCAACGCCAGAGCAGGCAACATAATCGGCAGTCTCGTCTCCGGCTCGGCATAACCGTGGTCTTGCTTCTTCGCAAAAGCCTTCAACCGGCGGTCTGCTAGGAGGGCAGTGGTGATAGCGCCAAAGACTATACCAATCAACGCGCCTATGAACAAAAGCCCCGTGTCCGCGCCCCAGTCATACGGCGGAAGAATGAGCAGCTGAGGTCCGATGGTGGAGATGACGGCCACAGCACCGACCAAGCCACCATACTGCAGCATGGCAATCCACGTGGCTGGCAGCCGGAGGGTATACCACGGCTTCATAAACTGGTACTTGATTCTACCTCTGTACATCCCAAACTTGAGCGAATCAGAAAAGGTATAAGGGTGGTAGGAGAAGTTCCCCGGGCCCGTTGCTCTCGACGACCTGACCTGCTTTGACAATCTAGTGGGTGTCATGGCAGTGGAGCTGCTGAGGTCCCCAGAAGATGACGGCTGATACCATGTATACGTCGGGTCCAACTCCCCGGTATACCGAAACCTCGACGGCAGCGTCATCCTCATCGATGGCAAAGTAACCAGACTGAGGTACGGCGCAGGTGTCCGGGGCCAGTACCTCGATGGTCGGGGAAGATTCCTCTGGATTGGCAAGCAGTGGGCTCCACGTTCGTAGATCGTTTCCGGGACGAATAAGACCGAACACAAGAATGTGATGCCCGCCAGAACAGCGCTGACCCAAAAGACTTGGAACCAACCCAGCCTGACAGCGATGTAGCCGCCTGATATACCGCCCACGACGGAGCCGCTTGCTAGGGCTGCTGTGTAGAACGCCTGAGCAGCCGCGTCAGCGAGAGTTCGATGTTGGAGAAGAACGAGAGAAACATACCATCCACCTCCCCCTCTCATGCACAAAATACATCTCCCCCACCACCGCCGGCACCACCGTCTCGGACGCACTACTCCCAAACCCCTGAAAGCATCTCACAACCAAGATGCCAACAAAGTTGGAGGTTGTCGCCCCGACAGCCGTGGAGATGAACAGAATGAGCGCCGAAATAAGGACAATGGCCCTCCTCCCAAAGATATTCGCCACCGGCACGAGAAATACATTTCCAAACCCCAACAGGAGAATATTGTACTATCTTTTCTGTCAGCTCGATCATTACCCTTCACCCTTTTTATGAGGGAAAGAGCTTACCGCAACAAACTGCATCAACTCCTCAATCTTCCTCTGATCCTCGGGAAACTCCAGATTCCACACCGGCAACGCAGGCGCGATGCAAGCCGAGATGAAATTGCTCACAAAGGCGTACAGCGAGACGGTGCTGATGCACGCCAGCTTCCTCCACGGGGCCCAGTTCAGGGGGTCTGCCGGGTCTGGGGTTGGGAGGGGGTACTTTGAGAACCGATCCGTTGTTGTCACGCCTCCCTCTGGGATGACGACCGTGGTCGTGGGCTCGATCAGCCGGACCGTTCCCGGGGGTGTGGCGGCCTTGACGGCTTCTCTGCTGAGGGAGAAGGCATATTTCCAGCCGGGCATCCTATCTCAACCTGTGTGGTGGGGATGAAAAGGTGGCAAGTGATGAGATGGTAAGAAAGGGGGAGGAGGGGGGAAAGGGGGAAACGAGCGACGAGGGGGCAACGGCTTTCGACGAGCAGAGAGCATTTTTTGGGCGATAACATGGTTAGGGAAGGGCAAAGTCTTATGCGAGGTGTGTGGTGTTTAGTTGGTTCCCGAGGACCCGAAATAAAGATGAAACCCCCGTCCGAGAATATGCTGGGAGGGTTGGGCTGATGGAGAGAAGCAGGGACGCGAACGCGCTTGTGCAAGGCCGGGGCCATGGTGGAAGTTTATTCATGTTCCTGGGGGCGACAGTGCTGACGAGGACGCTAGAATTTGGGATGGGAGCTGTGTACTGAATCACCAGGTCACTAGTAACGAGGCGAATAAAACTGGTTCTTTTTTTCAAAGGGTGAGATGTGCTGGGATGTTTTTGAAAACATATATCAAAAGATTTCCGACCCTGAGAGAACGACAGATTACCAGAAGTGTCTTTTCCTTCCCATTGTAGACAAAGATATAACTATCCCAACGTCTATCCACCAACACAGGTGTTTCACAACCTACAATCTTCCGTCGAGTGACCGTAGTCATTGCACGAAAGACACCACGTCTCCTCCGTCGAGTGAGCAAATGCACAGCGTTCGCCCCTGCGACACCCAACAGCCGTGCATCTCTTTGTTTTCCACAACCTAAAGTCCTTGGTCGGATTATCCCGAAAGCGAGCCATTTCCTTGCTTGTATGCTTATAACCACATTCACCCCTATCTCCGCAATGCTGGCCTTTGGGACACCCTTGAGTCCCGCGCTGAGCACGTCCGTGAGCTCTCCCTGGCCGAGATCGAGACTTCACCTGCTCCCAGCCCTCCTCATCATCGGGATCTCCGCCCCCCTCAGCCTCGGCCTCGTGGACTTCTGCTTTTTCGTCTCCGGCTTCGGGTGGGCCACTTCCAAGATCAACACTGTTTTCCAGGGAGCTTTGCGCGTCGTGTTTCGTACTGAGAGGGGAGCTGGAGGCTCGGTTGTCATTTTCCAGCGGTAAAAACATGTTGCTCGTCTCGACAATCTCCGACACATCCTTGTTGAACCTACTGGCATAGACGGGCCATGACATGATGGTGGTCTTCTCGCCAAACAGTTCCCGTGCTTTTACGATGATGGCCTCGATGTTCTTCACCGTGGGGAACTCGACGAATATTTCTGATCCATTCTTTGAACGCGTGGTGTAGAACAAACGTCCCAACTCGAGGAGGACCTTCGCCACGTAAGAGTCGTTCCATGTTTCCTCAGCGAGATCCTCTGGCTCCAAAATCACAATCGTGTAGGCGGGAACGACCCTGGTGTTTCGGGTGGAGCGGAAGTTGGTGAACGACACTTGGTTGAATATGTTGTCCAAGAACTTGACCGATAGTCGGCCATTGGTATTTCTTTCCCTCAAGTATTCCCTGGCCATCCCGGAGTTCCACCCCCAGAGTTCCACTCGGATGCCACATCCCAACACCTTTCTGATCGCGGGGAGCATATCGCGATCTCCCGTGATAACGATAAAGACTGTTCTTTTTCTGCGCTCTTCGACGGCTTGATCAAATTTCGCCACGGCCCTAAGATCAACAGCCTCCTCGGTCATATCTGCCGACATGGAGTTGTCCACCTCCTTCTCCCTCCCATTGGCGCCGCGATCGTATATCTTGGTTTTGAAGCTGCACTTCTTGTATTGGTCCCATACCAAATCATTAGGCGGTGGCCGAGAGCCGTAGATGTAAGATTGGCGCTGAATTCGGCCATCGCAGAGTGTGTTGACTAACCTTCCTATATTAATCCGGAGACGTGGGTCCTGATCACCGTCTGTGAGCTTGGGCATATGTGAATTGCCCGAGGCGGCGAACTTCTGAGCCTCGATCCACACGTTGGAATCGTCCACAAATAGCAAACATTCGTCATTATCGGCATCCATTGTCGCCGGTGGTGTGATTCACGCAGATTAAGGGTAAGGCAGAGCGTAACGAACAACCTGTTGCGAGAGTATGGCGAGGTGAGTTCAGATATATATATATACCAGCGACAAAATCTGGGCTTTTCCTACTGTTGTGCACTGTCCTTTGCTGTTGTGTGTGCCTATCCTTTAAATCCCATCAACCCGGTGAAAAATGCAGGTTGCTTGATAATATTTCTAGGCCAGCCGATTGAGCCAATATTTCAAGGATCGAAACGTTTGCAACCGCTGTGGCAACAGTTCCCCGCCATCCATAGCCTATCATCGCCAATCTGCCTCGCCATTTTTGGTGACCTGCAGGCCTGTTTGTGTTGACCTACCTGATATGCGCTGCGACGTGGACCAGTGACACTATGGTGGCCTAGAAGACAGCAGCTGCAACAGAGTGCGTATTCGCACTGGATTGTCGCCTGTTGATCACCCCGTCATCCCCGGCTTGTACGTATAGCTTCTTGATTTCGTTCTTGTCGGCCTTCCGAGGGTCCCAGGTTTCTTGCAAGAAGCCCACATCCTTTCCTCGCTCGAGCTGCTTGGCTTCTCGATCAATACGCCCGAAGGTTGCTCAGTTTCCTCTGACCTTTCAGCGATCACGAGCCCTCGCCGGTGAGGAAGTGTTGCATTTTTCCTTGGACTTCGGCGCAGCTGCAATGAGAGTTCCCAATGATATCCTCATTGCGTCTCCCAGTCACAGTACCCAGTCGGCGGATCCCTGATATACCCCGGCCCCAATCCAGCTCCCGTATTGTCCCTACTCCTCATCAAAGAGTCAAAGAAGGCCATGTCAACCCCTTGAAAGGCCCAGTCGTCCACTCCTGCCGTGAGAGCAGGGTAAAGATACGAGTCGTGTTCAGGCTGCAAGTGGCCAGAACCATGTTGGGCTGGGAGTGAAGAAAAGTCAGGTCCTCCAACAAAAAGATTCTGAGAACTTTGTTGACTTTGCACCATGTTGCCGTACAATTGTTGCTCCTGGTTAGGTGTCTGAGAGGGTTGCCGCTCGAACGCTGACTGCGGCACCAACGTCGCAGACGACGGAGCGTCAGGTCCAGTTACCGCGGTGGCGGAACCAGCGGCGTCAGATGTGACCGCCTCCTTGGAAATGACTTCATCGGTAGCCACAATCTTGACCACCCCATAGTACGGAATAAACACACGGAGGACGTTTTGACGGCTCGGCGTGGTGACGGACTCGGAGCTAGACCGGTGAACGGCCTGGGTGTCGTACTTTCGCCGCCCGTTGGCCGCGTCAGCCTCGATGGCCATGAGCCTGCGTATCAGACCGGCGCTCTTCTCGCTTAGGCGCATCCGCATTGACTTTGTTGAACGCGTCCCATGTTCTCGAGATACCCCTCCACCAAGCCTAAATCTCCAAGCCTTTGGTGGGCGAGAATGCTGTGATCTGGGGGTTGGCAATGACCTTGCAGGGTGTGCCAAAAGGAGCGTCATGGCAGCCATGAGGGCGTAGAAGTCCACAGCGCGGCAGCAGAAAGGCGACGTTGTCTTGGGCCCGGAAGAGGACAAAGCGGGTGAGTAGCTCTCTCGAGGCGGTGACGCAGACATCGCGGCTGTAAGAAGAGTTGCTCGGGTCGAGAGACTGCTTACTGGATCGCAGCAACATGTATGGAAGATGAAGCTGGTTCAAAAGGTTGTAGTGGAATACTTGCCTCATCAGTTGCCACATTCTCCCGAGCATCTCGCTCACGTCATTGCCGGCACCAATGAGACTGGGCGGCAACCACCATCTTCCCGGCAGTTCCCCTGCCATCTTCTGCAACTCCAGATCAAGGGCTTTGGTGGATGCATACTCGTGGAAGCTTGGATCAGATTCATTCCGCTCCAGGATCCGAGCTGCGACACCCATCTGAAGACGTTCGAGTTTATTGACGGGGGCGTCGTCACCCGGCAGGTGGACACGTGAAGCCACTGCTGCTTCCATTGCGCCTTGCGGAAGGCCAAGCATGAGGGACACAACAGCATCTGCACATACAAGACGATGAAAGAGGTGTTGGGGAGCCACTGGCATCGAAGCGTCGAGAATTCTCAGAGGCCGGTGCTGGTAGCTTCGATGAATACCCATCAACTGGCCGACCGTTATAGCGCGGCGGAAGGCCAGCCAGGCTCGGCGTAGGTTCCCGCAGTTCATCTGAAATAGACCCTCTAGCAGGATACAATGCAACGACTCAATGGAGCTAAGCATTTCATCGTTGGTGGTAACGAGCCGGATTGCCGTGTCCGCTAGCCTCCGCATGATGGTCCGTGGAGTTTCGCAGTCAGGCGGGAGATCTGTGTATGCATTCCTGTGGGTGTACTGTAGAGACAGGCAAAGAACAAGCATGTGTCGAGCTACCAGGACCGGATGGAGATCTCGGGGCGGAATTCCAAACACGACTTTTGGGTCACTGTTTCCGCCGAGGCCTGACGCAGGGTCGGCGCTGGTCAATGCCAAGGCAAACAAGCCAGCTTTGTTTCCGCCGAGCTCGTAGATAGTATCAAGGTCCTGTCGAGATGGGTATGCCGAATGCAGTGCTTCGGAGAGTCGGCCGTGCTTGCCATCGTCAGGTCGTAGCTTGGCGAGACACTCGGCAGGATTTGGGCGTTGAACACCGAGACTTTCATCTTCGAGATCCAGCCCTTCCTGTAGAAGGGTATCAATAGCTTGTCACGCCAGTCAGTTGCATGATGCGTCATACCTGAGGAGCATCAAGAATACCAAACTGGTGACTTGATTCCGAGCCAGTTGATCCATCATCTTTGACTACCACAGAAGCCTCTGCGGGTTTCAACAGTGCCTGCACAGCGGATGGATCACCTCCAACCTTCTTGACCAGCTGCTCAATCAACGTCTCAACCCGAATGATTCGGTCTCCCATCTGACGTGTACGATCCGCTGGGGTTGAAAGTTCCTCAGGAAGATCCTGGCTTCTGCAGTCGGTGTCCCTACGATGACATCCGATGCAGATAGCATCACCCGGAGCAGCAAAGGTGCATCGGATCTTTCTCCGCTTGCATTCCCAGCAGCTGTGTGTCCCTTTCCGAATTCTGCGGGCCTGCAGTTTGAGTGCTTTCTGTGTGTATATGGTCTGTGGCATCAGGGTGCCGACAGGTGAGCGAGCCGTTTCGGTTTCCATCTTCTCGCACTTTCGAGCTGAGAGCTCTATGGGTGTTGTAATGGGATGTGGTTGTGCTGGAAGGAGGTGCAGGAACCGTGGTGGTCGGCGTTCTCAAGTGTGTAAGTGCAAGAAGCCCGCAACGGCGGAGGTGTAAAAGAGCAGTTTGTGATTTTCTTCCGCCGCGTCGGCGGTCCAAAACGGCGGTGTCTTCAGCATTCGTAATCAACCCCCTGGGTGGTTGGCAGCCTACTGGTCGGTCAGCAACGACAGCATAAGCAGATGTGCGGCACAGCGGGCAGGAGCCTCCGGTGCTCTGGATCGGTTATTCCCGTAGATGAGGTTTTGCGACATCAGGATTTGGTTATCTAGAATTTTATTCGAAGACTGTCGTCATAGGAGTTATCCTTCGAGATAGAATTCTTTGCCCAGATATTTGGCCTTGAGAGGTGTTGCCGTGGCAACGCTTTACCCCTGAATCCCTTGAGATTCCCATATAAAAACAAATTATCCTTCTTCTTTTTGTTGTTTGAATTCATTGATTGTTCTATCATTTTGCTAAGATCGTCGTATCATGATCACCAATTATATGCCAAAGCACACACATGAAACCCCCTTTTCGAATCGTAAAGCCCACCCATTATCCACCCTGATTAAAACACCTTTCTGAAACCCCGTGTCCGATAGCCCAATTAATCCAAAGTAAAACGCCAGCCCGCCTGTTCTGGCATATCTGAAAATCAAAAATCAAAATCGTAAATAAGGAAAATCGTCCTCACCCCTATGCCACCGCCCCAGCAGCCCTCAAGGTCTCTGGGTTTAGTCTTTTCCAGCTGAAGAAAAAACTCAAAACAAAGGAAAGCCCAACGGCTCCAATGGCAATCGCTAACGCTGTTTTGATTCCGGCCATGTAGGCGATCAAAATCCCCGGTACTTGCTCCGCTGGGAAAACGGTCGTGATTGCGGTGGCGCCTGTGCCCAAGACTGCAAGTGCGTTGACATCAGGCGCTGAGATGGCCAGTTCCTTCATGAGCTCGTTGACAAAGGCGGATTGACCAGCCGAGACCCAGAAGGCACCACCAACTGTTTGGAAGACTGCACCAAAAGTGTTAGCGTGAGAAACAGAGACAAAAAGGGGTATATTCACAAAGAACGATAGCAGTGACACTGCTCAAATCGTCAATCTCGGCCGTCGCCTGGCTGACGATGATGGGAATTTGGAACGCACTCCCCCACGCAATACCTCCCAGGATTTGATATCCAATCCACATGCCCGCCGATGACCTAATGTCAAGTGTGTACAACAGACCAGCCGCCACGGTAGCCAGCGCTGCCCCTCCCACCGCTAAAGGTGTAGCATAGCCCGTCGCCGAAACCGCCCCTCCTCCCACGATCGTCGCTACTGTGACCGACAGAATCAGCGGCAGGTTTTTCACCCCTGATTCCGTCGGTGTAGCATTGCCGATACTTTGGAAGTAAATCGGCAGGTAATAAATGATGATGAAATAACTCCCGGCAAACAGTAACGAAAACATGCTGCAAACCCACACCTGCCTCTGCACGAATAGCCTTGGTACGATCATGGACCTCTCCCCATTATACCACTCCCAGACACCAAACGCGATGGAAATCATGACGAATCCAACCAAAAGTCCAACGACCTTCCGGTGATGCCATGCAAGTGTCTGCCCGCCATATTGTAGCGCAAGAATGTATGTGATGACACCGGCCATGATGAGTGCCGTGCCAACGGGGTCCATCTGCAAAAGCTTCTCCTTGAGAGTCGCCTCCGCCGGCTTGCATCCCGCTGGGGTCCGGAACAAGAAGATGATGATCAGCGCCGACAGTCCGCCAATGGGCAAGTTGATGTAGAAGCACCATCTCCACGTCACCCTATCCGCAAATACGCCTCCAATCAGCGGTCCAACAACGGCAGCAACACCATAGGCCGTGCCAATAATGCCGGTGAAGACTGGTCGCTTTTTCGGCTCGGCGGAAAAGGCGATGAGGGTGTATGCTCCGGAGCCGATACCAGCCGCTCCCACCCCGGCAACAGCACGGCCAATGATCAGAGTAGGTGAATTGGGTGCCACGCCACAGATCAATGACCCAAGCTCAAAGATGAAGATGGAGATGAGGTAAGAGATCTTGAGCGGAAAATACTTGAACACCTTGCCCCACGAGGATTGGAACCCGCCGACAGTCATGAAGAAAGCTGCGCCGTACCAGGCTACGTCTTCGAGGCCGTTGAACTCGTCGGTGATCTTTGGAATGGCGGTTGCTACTATTGTCTGTTTGACGAGTTAGCATCACTGAGAAAGGCACAGTGTGTGGATCGAAAACTGACCATGTCGAGAGAAACGAGAAAGACGCTGAGAACCAAGGCGATGATGATACAAGCAAACGTCCATCCTGTTGAATACTCTGTTGGCGGCACATGTAATGACTTCCCTCGGCTCCTGTATTTCTCTGACAGACGTCCCAGGTTGGTGGATGAGTTTGGTGTGGAACCACTGCTGAGGTAAGCGTGATAGCGATTTCTTGGGGTAGCTGGAGTTTCGAGATTGAAGAGGGATGATACCGAGTTTTGCGATGCCAGTGGCCCATGTGCGTGTGTGTAGGCACTATAAGGTGCCATGGTGGTGTTTGAACGAGCGACAGACAGCCAAAATGAGGGGAGGATTCCTAAAAGACTGGACAATTCACCACAGGTGGCTAGGAGAGAGCGAAATACAAGGCAATGTGACAAGACTTGGCGAGGAGCAAGTGATGCCGAATACCGAGTGGTAAGACGAAAGGGCTTGGGAATCCTTTATGTTCATGATGTCCAAGATGGGAATCCACACTGCACGTACATGCAAGACACCGATTCCGTGGCAGCGATTCTCCGGGAAGGCGTTCTCGGCGGCAACATCTCAGAGATTACCTCGTCCACTGCGACCACAGTGCCGCGCGAAGAGAGGATGGTTCCCAGGTGCAGAAACGCGCACCACATCTGCCGAGAGGTGCATTTTCGATGCGCATACCAGCAGCTACCTGCTTCATCTCTACTTGGAAGATTCCGCAGCCGATGACGAGATGTATTCGGGTCGGGTTTCATCAAGGACTCAACCCTGGTGCAGGAGTAGGCGCCGGACATTAAATCGGGGTGCGGTTTGTCTGCAGAACACCGCTATTTTAGTGCGAGTATAAGCCAGACACCACAAGAAAGCGCAGAGCATCTCACCTTGCAATTGGTGTTGTTGTCTTTTGCTGCAACATTCTCACCGGTTCGGATTGGTGATGCGCTGCGGCGTTGCCGACGCCACACATACTTTCTTGAAAATATTTGTGGCAACATTAGAAGGTGGATGCATTTGCCTGGAAGATAGAGACCTGCACCTTCCCTTTCCTATTCATAGGCATGCACCTTCCATCTCTGCAACCTAGCTACTTGTACTAATTACTCAGCTCATGTGATCAATGAGGACCCCCCTCATGCAACTTTTCTTTCATCAGTTTCCTTCATGTTCAGAGTGTTCCTATTTTCATCCATCTTATCCAGCATCTCATCATCAACCCGAATATCGGCATTCACACCGCTGCAGTCAACTCCTTACAAAATCGGTCTTCATGTTCATCTCAAGATGTCAACCGATAATTGATCACACGTCTTCTTCTGAAGAGAACCCACATGAGCGTGTCGAAAATCTGAGGTGGAAATCAAACACAATAAATTCAATCTAACCAAATTACGTACACCCATCGATCACTCTATTCCATCCCAGCTTTGTGTTCTTCCACTCATCAAGTCTCTTTCCACCCGAATAATTTCACTGACCAAGCTCTTATCAGAAACCATCCACCCCCCACCACCCACACCTCACTCATAGATCACATTAGCCACAATGGCGAACTCAGTCCTGATCGGCCGACTCGGCTCCCCAACAACAGCAGTCGCCTGTCCAATAACAGCAGTCGGCTCCCCCACAACGGCAGTCGCCTGTTCGACTTTTACAACATTGTCACCGTTCACGGCCGTGTTCTGTCTCGCCCGAATAGCAGTGATAAACCCATCAGCTACCTGGAAAACAGGCACTTCGGTCACAACCGGCGGCGAAACCGGAGTAACCGGAATCTGGGTACCAATTACCACAGAGGGGGCATTCGGAATGACGGTATCGATCGGTGCCGGAGGAGCGTCGGGAATAGCGGTACTGATTGGTGCCGGAGGAGCATCGAGGATAGTGGTAGGAACTGGTGCCGGAGGAGCATCGAGGATAGCGGTGCTAATTGGCACTGGGGGCGCTTCGGGAATGGGAATTGCGGTATCAACAGGCTGAGGCGCCTCGTCGACGGGAAAGGCGGTGCTCTCAGCCTGACGACGTTCAACTTGGCGCTGTTGGAGGCCGTCGATAATGTCGATGAGGTCTCCCAACTCATATGTTTGTCTTTTGGCAGGGCTGGAACCGAATCTCCCACGAGACACATCATTCGGACCGGGGATTGTACCACCACCTACCCGGTAGGTCCTAGTGTCCAAGGGCGAGTCATCCCTCTTCGCAGGACTAGCGCCGAATCTACCGCGAGAGACGCCGTTCTGGCTTGGAATACCGTTGCCACCACGGTAGGCTCTCTCAGAAAGCTGGGTGGAAGCCAGGCCAGGCTCTGCCGGCAGGGCTCGTGCCTGGGCAACGTGGACGTCGAGCGCGGCGAGGAGGAGGATGCAGTTGGAGATGGTGAGCTTCATGTTTTCGGAGGGATGAAAGATCAAGTGGAAATAGATCAGACAATGGATAGCAGGTAATAAGGATTGGAATCTCAGGCCGGCCTGAAGTAGTGAAGTTTTTGTGTAGTGTTTGATTGCTCGGATGAAGATGCTGTTCAGTTTGATATTGACACTTCACTTGTTGGAACACAGCCTTATATACATTTTCAAATATAATGATCGCTCGAAATCTTTTTTACATGACAATAGGCAACAGTTCCGGAATTCAACCTTCCCGATAGTTACTTTGTCTGTCTTGGGAGTCAAAACTGGCCAGACGGGAAAATCAACGGCAAACATTTGACACGATTCATCATGCAGTTGACAGGAGAATTCAAGGCCTACGGTAAAAGTCTCAAGTCATCTATGTTTGCATCCTAGGTGCATAATGCACTAGTTGTGGTCGTCTAGATCTGAATGTAAATCCCGGCAGTAGTAGGCCACATAGAGGGGTCAGTCTTGACCTAGCATCGCCTCACTACTACGTTTTCCTTCAACTATGACCAAATGTTTGTACGTCAAAAAGAAATTAACCGACGGGGAGTTCTAATGGTCTGATGTAGATCGACCCGTGTCGGCTCGTGAATATCGAACTTTAATGAAACCCGGGAATGGTAAATATGGGCCATGTTCGCGGCCCAGTTGCCTATCCCCTATAATTATTGTTAAGTTATTTGATACAAGGTAAGTAATATTCTTTGTTTCGAGTTGCAAAGTGAAGTTATTGTGTAAATTCCCAATCTTTTGGACTTTCTGCTACACTGACAATATCAACAATGAGGACTGAATCCTGTCCCATCCCCAACGCCACGCTGCTAACATGACCGACAACACCAACTTTTTCTCTACCCATTCCCCCACCATTCCATAAGCAACTTGCCCTCCTAGAAAACTTCTTATCTTTCTTTACGCCAAAAGCCTACTCCTTCTTCGACCTCTTACTATCCCCCCCCTCCAGCCCATTCACCTCCCCCTCCCCAGCCCCATCCTCATCCATCCTATGAACCGTCCCCGCCCCACCACCCAACATCGACTCACTCAAAACCCACACGCACCCAACCGGCCCCCCCTCACCATCCCCCTACCCTCAACAATCCACTTCCCCTCTTCATAAAAAAACTCCTGCACATTCTTCGTTGT